TGATACAATGTCACAGTCCCAATGGTTGCGATGACCGTCACGCTCAGTTTCTGATCCATATGATATGCTCATACTCGTTAAATATGGCATCTTCTATTTCAAATTGAAATACAGTGATTAGATATTTGTTTTATATGAATTAAATATGTGTTGCTACAACAAATTGTTCGAGAGAGATTTTAAAAACAATTTTATCTGAAGCAGTAATTCTGAAGTCTAAAAAAAATATGTAGTGTAAAATTTGAAGCTGGCATTATCAGGTGATATTCCAGTATAGCATTTATATTCTGTTAGTAAAAAAGTATATATTCTAAAGTCTAAAAAAAAAACGTAGTGTAAAATTTGAATCTGGGATTATCAGGTGATCATATATCAGTATAGAATTTATATTCTCTTAGTAAGATAGTAAATATTTGATCAGATTGAATCAGTCTAGTCTAATTACTGTATTTGGAGCATCCCAGCCAGGGAGATCTTTTGTTATCTCTTAATACATTAGCTTGGTATTTGGAGACGGCACTTCTGATGCCTTTGTCCAATCCACATTTGCACAGTATGTTTTTATCAGAGTATTAATTGGATTTGAGCACTTTAAGTATCCATCTCTGGTTCTAGTAACTGTTGTTTAAATTTTTCAGATGTAGGAATTTAATGTCATTTTTTAAATAAAATTTGTTGAAAGACATCCCAAATATATTAGGATGCCTTTTTATTGATCTTAAGTTCTGAAGTACAACAATGTGTTGTAAGCTATTATTTCATATCATCAACTAAATCGGCTTACTGCAAAAAAGCAAGAAAATTAACTGAAACTTTTCACAATTATTATCTCTGAATTGTGTTTGAATATTAAAGTTGGTTTAATTTTTTAATAAAATCATTTTTCATTTTGTTTCTTTTTAATTTTTCCTTTTAGACTCATCTTGTATCTTGCTGAGTAGTTCTTTTTACATTTTAGTTGCTATGCCAACCATTGTCTTGATGTTTTTCACAGTTTTTGATCTAGCTCCCTGAGACGTTGATCGATTCGAACTAAACTTTAGTTGGTGTGTAGATCACACATGGTACTACAACTATTGCAAGTTCATGTACAACTTTGACCAGGTCAGAGGTCAAATAGTGTGTTTTAGTCATAATAACCTGTGTTGTTCTAACAGTATCGGGGGAGGGGTTGGATGGCCGAATGGTTAGCTCCATATTCCTGAAGCAATGGCCCGAGAAATCACTCTGTAGATTAGCTTATGATACTTGCGCTTTTGGGGGAGTGTGTCTATTCTTCGTTTAATCAGGGGTCTTCCCTAAAACTTTGGACAGTGATTTAAGGTATTAAAAACGGTGAAAGTGTTGTTCGTATTAAAACAATATTGTTTTTTAATATCCACGGAGTAAAAATCATGTTGACAGTTGATAGCCTTGTTTGTCACACAATAGTTTTTCTGCAATTTTCTGCTAGGCACTGGTTAATTGGGCATAATAAAATCGTGCGTCATGACGTAACGTTATGTAAACATATTTGGTCCAATTTGGAGCTTTGTTTGGTATTGTTACGCAGTAAGCTATTGGTTGTTAATCGAACTATTGACCAGTCATAATTTAAAACAAGAATTTGCTTTGTTTACAGCAGTGAGTAGTGGGATTAGCTCTAATCAAACGAAACACTGCGAGGAGTATGGGTTAGCTCGTGCACGCTGTATCATAAGGTCTGTCATTGAGTCATCTGGCGTGGTTTCGATTCCCCGGTTGTACATGACTAGGAGTAGGGTCGCCTGTCCAACCCCATCGGTTTTCTCCGGGTCCTCCAGTTTCCTCCCACAGCTAAAGACCCCTATGTGCAAGCGAATTATTAAAATAAAATTGAACCATGTTAGTCCCAAAATGACCTGGTTTGTGTCGAGTGAACCTTAAACCCCATTTCTCTCTGTCTCTCTCCCTCTCTAACAATTTCTCAGAGTAGAGTTTTGAAATGATGGTGACCAGACTTTGATTTTTATTCTGTTGATGAAGATTATCAGTGGCTCCCTGCCCGATGTTTGAATTTCACTTTCATTTCCAAATGGCACTCCTTCTAACTTGGGTATAATTCCGATGATTTAGGGAGATGGGGGAGGGGGGTTCGTTGGAGTGGTCTAATGCATATGCTTTAGATCATAGAGTCTGTCTTTGAGTCAAGCAGCGTGAACTTACTGAAGTAGGGTCACCTGTCCAACCTCGTGGGTTTTCTCCAGGTCCTCCCACAGCTAAACACCCCCATGCAGATGAATTATTGAAATAAAATTATACCATATGTTAGTCCCAAAATGAATCGGTGTGTGTCGAGTTGAACCCCTAGTTCTCTCTCTCTTTGCAATTAAGCGGCCATATTCTCATATTCACATACGCCAGTTGCATATTTGGGTGGGGTCTAGTGATTCCCCACTTGTACGTGACAAGGAGTAGTGTCGTCTGTCCAACCTCATGAGTTTTCTTCGGGTCCTCCGGTTTCCTCCCACTGGTAAAAACCCCCACGCATAAACAAATTATTGAAATAAAACTCAACGTTAGTCCCAAAATGACCTAGTTTATGTCGAGTGGACGTTTAAGCCCCATTTCTCTCTCTATATTTGGTGTTTTATTACATCAAATATTTTTTTTACCAGGCTTAAATTAATGATTCAATGTTTTGTATGTGACTTGATATCTATGAGATCTTTGATATGTTCAAATTTATAGGACTTATATTGCCTTCATTATGGACCAAATCGATTTATATTCAATTTTAATGAAGCTTTTTATGAGGCTTTTATCTATAACATGTCTCTCCAGACTAAAACATAATATACTCTTCAAAAAAGTAGCGGATATTCAGAAACAATACAAAACTGCGGAAATGCACTGCTGTTTTTATTAGAGGTAACCAGTGTGTGTTAATAACAGGCCAATTGCCTACACGTGAACATAAACAGTTCATATGGGCGGCTTATCTGACGGCCCCATTTCACTCGCAAAGAGCCACGGCCACTTCTTGCAGCGTTGACGGTTGACGTTGATGTCGACGAACGCATCTCCCAATCAAATTAAATGTAACACACTAAAACAAAGATACGCTAAACTGTAAATCTTATGCAAAAACCGAAAGGAAAGCAAAAACCAGCGCGCAGCATTTTTTATCAACTCTTCCTTTAAAGGAGCTAAATCGCTAACATTTGGGACCTAGAAATTCACAAAATTGTTCGCAACGCATATAATACTGTAATATGAATGTATATAAACTGATTTACATTTAATAGTTTCCGTTTTTACTCCAATTTCAAATCAGTTATGTTCGGCGAAATAAGTCAGCAATCTCAATCGAGTGCAAATTTCTAGCGTCTAGTTATTCTAGTCTACATAATTCCATTTGATTTGGTGCAATGTGTCTAGCCTCGCCCCCCCCCCCCCCCCCCCGCTGTTTTTTTCAAGGACCTTTTCAGTCATTTTTTTTCCAAACTTTTAATGTCAATTGACATAAATCCGTATCAACAAGCTGGAGTTTAGGTGCAGAATTTACTCAAATTAGGTATTCTTCAATTCAACACAGGGCCTACTAAAGGTGCCTGCAAATGTTTCCATAGTTGCTATAATGGTCCAAAAATAGATAATGCCAAATGAATATAATGAAAATTTCGTTCAAATTAGAACTGTTTGTAGTTTTGACAAGATGTGTGCATTGATTGTTTATTATCGTAACCATAAGTGGCCGAACCGTTCTAATCTAGTTAAAATCTCAATCATTGATTATGGTCGTGTCATGTTAATAAATGTCTAATTAATAATTTATATAACATTTAAAGCCTAAAGAATGACCTGCAATAGACAAATTTACCTCTTGAATAATTTATCTTTAATGAACATACTCCAAATTTCTTGAGTGGTTTTAGTAATTTAAGAGTAGTTTTTGTATGGAAAAACAATTAATGATTTATTAACATGCACCATTTTGACGATGGAAGTCTTCTCTTTATCAAACCAATGAACTGTCATTCAACATATGCATCAGTAATAAGATTTCGCCCATATATTGCGGACATGTCCGACGCTATTTTCCAAACATCCTAAATTGTCCGACCAGGTTTGAAAACGCCTGCTTAAATAACGATAAGAGTTATGCCTCTTTGTTTTCGGGAAAAAATGTCCGACAAGAAGAATTTTGAAATCCCATCACTGATATGCATGTATTTATTTTAAACTTCACCTTTTTGCACAATACGGGAGCCGCAGAGGTTCAGTGAAACTTCACCTTTTTGCACAATACGGGAGCCGCAGAGGTTCAGTGAGTAAGACGGCTCGCTAACCTGGAAATCCCATGTTTGATCTCAGTGTTGGTCCAGAAAGTTCAACTGGATTTTCTGGCATGATTTCGCCTTGTCAGTAGAGCAGGGTGGAGGGTCTGGCAAGGGACAACATATAGTCGTTCGAATGGGACGGAAAAGTGGGGTCTCATGTACCTGCACATAACAGATCCCTTGACAGTTGGAAATAGATATTAGGGTAGGCCGTAGTGTCGCCGTCTAGGCAAAATTTTCCTCACAGCACTACGTATGGCTTCTGCTCACCTTCATTAACTCAGTAGGACGTTAAACCATGTCCTGAAATAAGCGGCCGTACACGGACAATCACTGGCCGAACTGACCCCTTTTGAGAGGCTGAATTGACTTTCATCTGGACATAATTATCCGACCATGTTTTTGTCCGACCATGTTCAAAAATATTAATTTCCAACCACAGAGCGGGTCGTTAATTATTAGTTAAACACCATTTCATTTCATTTCGCGCAATATCCAGCTTTCATCGATTCTAGATAATGTTTCAAGAGAGAGAGAGATAGAGAGACTAACACATGGTTCGGTTCAATTTTATTTCAATAATTCGCTTGCGCGTAGGGGTCTTTAGCCGTGGGAGAAAACCAGACAAAATCCACGAGGTGGGACACGTACAGCCAGGGAATTAATTAATGTTTCAAACAATCAATCATAAATCACTGATATTTGGGTATTTGACATTTTATTGACGTGTTTGATTTTTAAAACGAAAAACAAAATGCTACACATACAATATATCGCATATAAAGTATTTATATTAAAATTATGAGACTAGAGAAATCATTCAGGGAAAGGTAACAATCCATCAACAGGTGAATCAGATTTAAGCCTGTTTTCCATTTAAGCATTTCCATGCCCTATTTCGCCATTTACATGGAAACGGTCCCATTACATTAGCCTGACTTTTTCGCTGGCAAAAACAGGTACATGAAAAACAGGCCTGAATCTTTATGGTGTACTATATATGCCATAAATTATCATACTGCTTGATATAAATATTACATTTTAGCAGTTACAGCAATCCATATAACTATGAAGGAATAAAGCAAAAAGGTGAATCCATTTCAATAAAGCTATGTTTGCTAGAATCCATTTCCAGTCTCTTGTAGTTCATTTGAAAATTCCAGTCATTAATAAATATATGTTTGTTAGGATCAATACTATCTTGCATCTTTTTTTTTCTGAACATCGTAATTTTAATTAAATCCAAGTTTAGATAATTTTTCTTGTTAAATTTTAATTAAAACCAAATAAACATTAATGCGAGAAAAAGAGAGAAATGGGGTTTAACGTCCACTCGACAGATTTGGGGACTAACACATGGTTCAATTTTATTTCAATAATTCGCGTGCTCGTAGGGGTCTTTAGCGGTGGGAGGAAACCGGAGGACCTGGAGAAACCCCACGAGGTTGGACAGGCAACCCTACTCCTTGTCACGTACAACCGGGAATTCAAAACCACGCCAGTTGACTCAATGACAGGCCTTGTGATACAGTGCGCGCGTGCTAACCATTCGGCCATCCCCCCCCCCTAAACATTAATGACATTGATAATTAATAAGATGAGTAATGTAATATGAAATGGGGTTTATCGTCCTAATTTTTGTTCACCAAACAGGCTAATGAAGATGGGCATATGCCATGCAGGAAAAAGTTTTCCCAGACATAGGCGTTTCCGTTGAATGTTCATCAAATTCCAAGGATTCTTTTAAATGCACAAGAACACAGTCGGACAATGGATTTTGGTCTCATCCAAACGACCTGACACTTTTTCCCTGCAAGATCATCCTGCACCACTGACAAGGTGACACCAAATCAGAAAGTCCTGAAGAACTTTCTTTGACAACGCTGGAATCGAACCCAGTATCTTCTGTTTAGTGAGCCAGCACCATACTCAGTGGCTTCATCAGTAAAATAATTCACGATTCACCTTCGCTCTTATTCGATACTTAAAACAATTTGTTGATTCTAATTCTAACATAATAATTTAACAAGAAATGATAATAATGTACTTGTCTATTATCAATATTGTTGATTTAAGAAGTGAAACATACAAATCAAAGTGTCAATAACTTGTTTAAAGGTATATATACAAGATTTAGAGTAGAATAATATGTATATACATATCTGTATATATTTGTCAATTAAAGGCCACAAACTCAGTAAGTGTGGTTTAATGGTAGAGAGCGAGGCATTAAGTAATATATTGATACTGCACGAGGACATTAGCCCGAGTGTTGTAACAATATATTATGCAATATCTTGCTCAGGACCATAAAACAACTTAAAATACAGACATTATCTCGCACATCCATTTCAATGAAATCGTCACATAAGTCCGATATTTCATCTAGTATAAATAATGTGCGACTGGCAAATTATCCGTACATTAATCCAAATAACGATACTCCAACATCAAAGGATGGGGTCACATCTGTATTTTAATGATTATTAAAATCTTACAGGAATGTGGTGGTTAATTTACATGTATCTTTACAAACTTTAACGTTTGTACAATATTAATATCTGATCTGTTGTTGGAAGTTAAAACGTAATCAAAGAATAACATCTTGTTATCACACACTTACAACTACCTAGAGAAGCATGCACCAACAGGCTTGTCAAATTTGATGGTCGTTAAACCTCCAACTAATAATCAAACATACCGGTCAATTCATTACATAAACCAGCTACATAATATAAGTTACAAACAGAAGGTAGTGAGGGGATATTGGAAGATCATTTATTTTCTTTTTATCATACTTTAACATGTTTATATGACATAAAACATACGAACAATGATGAAAATGAACAACGATGCTGGCATCTAGCTTTAAAAGGTATCTGAGAAAATAATATTTTGTGACAAACTACAATTGGCCTCAAGATTTTTTTTTTTGTGTGGTAATTAATTACTCTTGACCACCACCATTGTAAACACATGTAACATAAATCTTAGAATAAATAACCATGTATTCTTAGAATGCTCTACAATTACTGGTATTTAATATAAAATACTAGAGACTTATAAAGAAAATACAATAGCATATTTAATAACCGGTACTATTTCTTATATATGGCAAGCAACTGTACTCTACTGTTTTCACCTTGTAAAGTAACTTAATTAAAATAATCAATTGACTATTGTCAATAATATTCTATGAACAACAAAGAAATGAAATATGGTGACTATATCATTCAGACTGTTCAAAGAAAAACAAAGTTTACATCAGTTAGGACGATTTGAATACAGTTTTTAACTTGTATTTACGTAACTTATAGAAAATGTCTACGTAGAAAAGGGAGAATTTCGTCAGGAAGGACAATCTAAATATTTTCTTTAACAATTTGTTTCAAAAATAATAAATACAGAGAAAAGGGGATGAAAATTTGTCTATAACTGTCACCCGATATTCAAACAATAAATTAACCCCCCATTTAACATACAGACGTCTTCAGGCCCATTTACAACAACAATTTTTTTTTTTCACAACAGTCAACAATTACAATGAATGTTTAAATAAACACAATAAAAAATTTATTAATGTGTACATATTTCTAACAAAGTAATCAACACCGCTTTTCAATTGTGTTCGGGACAGGGATGGAAGTAGTTATTAAACAGATTCATTGAAGCAGACCTGCATCTATGAACTGCATCAGACCTTATTCAGGTTAATGCTTAATAATTCCCCCCAATGTGTTTTGAAATTTAAGAGTCTAACAATTAAATAATAAAGATCACTTAACGACTGGCTGCCAAACAAAACTTATTAAATAGCTACCTTCATTTCTCTCCACAATACCAATCCAGCAGCTACAGTTGCTATGGCAACTACTGTTTCCATGTCAATACAAAATGAGTTGCTATGGTTTCATTAAAATGCGTAGTCTGAAAGTGCTTGACTCATTGAATTGTTTGTTGACAAAATCGACATACAATCAACTATAACCCTATTCCTGTTACGTTTTTTTTTAAATTTTCATTTTTTATTTTTCTATAAAAAGTCATTCAAACAAACTAATGATCCAAACACAAATGTTGGCAGCCATATTATTATCATTAATAATAAACATTTAACCATACAAAGGTCAATGCATCATAGCAACCATCTACTGGTAACCAAGGTAATATTTCCTAATAGAGCAAGTATTACCATTTTTTCTTGTGTTCATCCATGCTGACACCACCGGGACCATGGGCTACGACAAGTAACAAACCTCCAATTACCGACAGCGTCTGGAAGAAATCATACTTCAAGAAATCTCGCATGGGTTTGTAATCAGGAATACTCCACCAAGCATTAAAATATAAATTGAGCCCAGTGAGCCATGTAACTAGAATTAACGCAGATAGTTTTGTTTTAAAGCCTACAGCTATAAGTACAATTAGAATAGTGCCTACAAGATTCTGCACTATCAGAATAAAATTAAATTCAAATCTTAACAATGTGAGGAACATGAGAACCAGAAGGATTCGACCACTGAGCTGCATATACTGCTTAGGATTATTCTCTCCGAGTGATGGTAGTCCAGCGAATAAACTCTTTCCTTCTGCTCTTTCTTCAGCCAATATTAATAACACACCACCAGCGAGAGCCAAATTCCTGTAACAAACAACACAAAAATGAATTGTTTATGCGGTATTTAGTAACTGGATGAGAATAAAGAGGAAAGAACCCTCGTCGAAAAGTCGCTGAAAATAAATCCTTCCAGTAATTTGTGTCGTGTTAAAAACAATAGAAAAACTTTTAATTACATATCAGATGAATTTTAGCACTAGTCTAATCACATCTCAATGTTTCCAATCCAGATGTCGAAAAAAGGATTGATTATTGATTATTCTATAAATATTTTTTCTTGATGTTCTAGTGAACAAACAAATGAGTGAGAGAAACCAGATTTACCTTCCACTTGACACAAACTAGACCTAATTGGGATACACATATGGTACAATTTTATTGGAATGATCTGGTTGCACATTGGGGTCTTTAGCAGTGAAAGTAACCCTGAGGACCCAATGAAATCCCACGAGGTTGGACAAGGCACCCATAGCCTTGTAACATACAGTGTGTGATAGAAAGAGAGAGAGAGAGAGAGAGAGAGAGAGATGGGGTTTAACGTCCACTCCACACAAACTAGGTCATTTTGGGACTAACTTATGGTTCAATTTTATTTAGCAGTGGGAGGAAACCGTTAGACCCAGAAAAAACCAACGAGGTTGGACAGGCGACCCTACTCCTTGTCACGTACAACCGGGGAATCGAAACCACGGCAGTTGACTCAATGACAGATTTTATGATACAGCGTGCACACACTAACCATTCAGCCATCCAACCCCCGGTGTTAGAAAGCATGCCACTAGACTCAATAAAAGTCCTTAGATCTTAAGCATGTGTTTTAGACCACTTAATCATCCAACCCCCTGAACTAGTGAAGGCTGAGTGCGTATATTTATATAGCTAAGTTTACCAGCAGATATATTGTGAATCTTGACACGCTTACACCATCTTTCAAATACAAGGGTAAATTGAACACACACGAGTGAACCATTGCATTCATGAGAAAAAAATGGGATTTAAAGTCCATGACACAAACTAGGTCATTTCGGGACTAACATATAGTTTAATTTTATTTCAATAATTTGCTTACGCGCAGGGGTCTTTAGGAGTGGGAGGAAACCAGAGGAGGACCTGGAGAAAGCCAACGAGGTTGGACAGGCGAACCTACTCCTTGTCACATACAACCGGGGGTTAGAGAGTGCGCGATGAATCTGTCATTGAGCCAACTGATGTGGTTTCAATTCCCAGGTTGTACTTGACAATGTTAGTCCCGAAATGATCTAGTTCGTGTCGAGTGGACGTTAAACCCCATTTCTCGCTCTGTCTCTTCAACTAACTGTGGTAAATGCCTTGCATCTGATCACCATATAGAATACCACCTGTTTAAATATTTTATTTAGCTTGTAATACAAGCTTATCATATCAATAACTCACCTTAATAAAAACTTGATATCCCACAGAATACTGTAAGCAATAGTCTGAAAACACAAAATAAACAAGCTAGAAATTTAAATTTAACAATATTTATTCAGCTGGACAGGTGGTCAATCCTACAATCTGATTAAAATACAGATCTATCTTTCGTTTCGTTTTTTTGTACTCTTGATGGCCTACACTACATAAAGATTTGACTGGTTGTAGTGATAGGTCACTTCAGAGGTCATACGAGCGGCTTTTGACCCTATGACGTCAGACATTTAATCAACCAATCAGCATTGATGTTTCTAGTGGATTACCCACAGTTCCATGCACCACATGGCAAAAGCTCGCTGTAACAGACCGTTTCATTGGCTAAACCCTCACATCATCCAGAACACATCAATGATAACAATCCTAGTGTAGTAAAGACAAGTAAAACGAAATTTTTAACTAAAAAAAAACAAAACAAAATAGAATCTGTGTTTGAATCAGATTGGTGTATAAAATGTCTCAATCTAAGCTATCCAAGTCATTGGAGTCATTAAGCATGAATTCTAAGTGTTGTCAATTAGAGTAAAACAGAAGTATTTGATTCCGTCCCCTTACTTTGAAATTAAGATCATTCAAGTAGACCATCTCAAGAGGCTGCTGATATTGTGAGATTGGTATACTCAACCAAAAGAATTTTAGTTTCCCTGTATTTTTATCAAGCAATATATCAGAAGGGTGTGCTATGAAAGTAAAGATAAGTATGGTTATTTATTTCCTGCAATGTCTGTGTATATTTCTGTGTCTTATCTGTGGTTATGTTTTAAGGGGTGATGCTGGTGCTCTTACTACCCGTATCATATTTTTATATAGACACAGGCCATTATCATCAAATGAATGCAAATTACATGTAGCTACAGAAATGAAATGAAAGGGAGTTTAACGTCCTACTGTTTCGCTCCGAACTGGGCTAATGAGGACGGGCATACGCCATACATTATGCTATGAGGGAAATTTTGTCCGGACAGCAGCACTACTGCCTACTCTTGTATCAAATTCCAACTGTCATGGGATATTTTATGTGCACGCCAATGTGTACACGGCCTCGGTTTTTTGTCCCATCCAAACAACTAGACAGCTGTCCTTGTCAGGCCCTCCGTCATGCATCACTGACAAGGAAGAACCATGCCGGAAAATCTGGATGAAGTTTGTCGGCCAATGCAGGGATCAAACAAAAATTAGCTACAGAACCAGACATTTACTAACCTGTAAGCCAATGATAGCAAAGAGAATTCCACATGCTATGGTAACTTTTTGTCGACTCAAAACCATAACACAGCCTCCTAGTTGTCCAATTAGATTAATGAACACGAACACACTTGCCAAGAACCAACCACACCCCCACGAAGCATTCATATAGTCCCTCTGTTCTCCCCATTGTGTCCACATACGTATCCCATCTTCAAGAAATGTTGAAATAAGACAGAAGCGGGCAACATGAGGCAGGATATGTTTTGAGTGTCGTAAAACCTGGAAAAAAATAATAACACAATGAGCAGATCAGTTCTAACTTTATTAATGGTACGGGAGCCCTAATTCAACAGAAATTTGTGTATATTGGTAATACACCAGAACATGTAGTTTTGGATAACAAATGAAACTGTAAAAGCGACTTCATAGCCATTGAAATGCGGTTTAACATCCTAATCAGACTGGGCTAATGAAGATGAGCATATGTCATATAGGACTTTTGCCCGGACAGTGGCACTACGGTCTGTACTCTTATATCGAATTCTAACTGTCATGGGTTCTTTTATGTGTGCACTATACGCCTTCCCTTGCCAAGCCTTCGCTACTGCACGACTGACAAGGTGGAACCACGTCGGAAAATCCAGATGAACTTTTTAGGCCAACGCTGGGATCAAACGCAGGATCTTCAGGTTACTGAGCCAATGTCTTACTCACTCAATCACCATGGCTCCCCATTTAATCTGGGATGGGGTATAGTATAGTACTGAGTGGTATATGTATGCAGGCCCAAACAAAACAGGCTATAATGACAGACATCAAGAAAATTTAAATTATCCAAATGTAATTAAATTTGCCCTAATTACTAATTTAATGGTACAATAGGCTACCATATGCTATGGATGAATATTACTCTAATTTCAATGATTAATATTGGTAATTACTCTTACTCATCAGAATGTACTATTGATAAATATGGTAATAGACTATTATTTTAAACAACAATAAATTTTTTATGAAACCATATGGTTTGCTTTAACCTAGTTATTAGAAGGAGGTTAAAGCTCATTTTCAAGGAGCTACAGTTAGATGTGCATTGATAACTTTTCCAGAAATCAAGTAAAATCTTATTTTTCTATCTTAAAACTAGGTAACAACATATTTTACAGTAAAATATATTTATAGTTCTGTCATAGCCACACAACCATGTGAACACATGTACCGTACTAGTAACTACTGTAGCAAATGAAATCTACACTGCTTAATTTTTAGTTCTGCTTAAAATGCTACAAACATAAAAGGAAAAGAGTAGTTGCTGAAGAGATTATCTAAGTCAAGTGACAATAAAATATTGTACATTGATGTCAGTTAGTGTTGTTATATGCAGTTTTTATGAACTGAAGTATCAATTAAATGCCAGTGCATCACCAGACACATAATATAAACCGGTCAAGTGTCACGCGTTTCTTACTATAACAGCTTGTTTTGGCGACAAAAATTAACACTACAATTGATAGAAAGACAAATAAATATATCACCTGATCTACGACGTCCTCGGCTTTGTCCATTAATTCGTTTTGCTTCGGCATTTTGCCGAAAAACTGTATTCTCTACAGGCTACTACAGCCACGTAAACTTGTCAACCACTCTGACCGGAAGTTCAGGTTGATATACAGTATTTAGTGGCCTTCCTCCCTCTGCAAACTCTACAAACTTTTCTCTTGATATCTGTAACTTATGCAGCAACAAGAGGTGGTTTTAGAATTTAAAACTTTTAAATTGGTGTAACATATTATTTTATAAATCAACATTAATTCTTCTGCATTGAAAAGGAGAACTAAGCAATAAATGTATCCTGCAGAGGGAGTGAATTTGTAGGGAAATCCTTTGCCACGTACTAATGCGCTTATCTTTCAGACAGTTCGTGAGTTTCCGTTAGCTTCCGGTATCACTCGGGACAATATGGCTGCGCCCATAGATCTCAATGTTGCCAGAAAGAATTTGGAGGAAGCCCTAGGCGACACTATATCATTGTAAGATTAATTACTATGTAAAATATGAACCTACACACCGAGCTCTCAATTTAGTCAACTGTTCACCAAAAATAAAGGGGACAGCTATCAGTTTCATGGTTTTCAGAAATTGACTCATAGTCAATGACAATAAATCAAAATTGGGTCTCTTATATCATTTAACAAAATGAAAAATTCAAGTTATAAAATAGTTTCCATTAGGTTCTGAAACATTCTAATTTCATATATTTGCGTATCATTTGTATATTAGTTACCAGAAATTTGTTGTCAACTGATTCGGATAGTTTCTTCCCTCGAACACCTTCTCTCTTCAGACTGGGTTGCTTCCTGGTTGCTTCCTGATTGCTTGATACACAAAGCTGTGGTGGCTCAGTGAGTAATGATGTCATCTGTTCACTCCCCATTTTGTGAGAGAAAGTTCCATGCTTGTAGCAAGGAACAAACAAAACAGTATCTAGTTGTTTGAATGGGACACCCCAAAAAAACGAGCTCTTGTCTACACGTTAGTATGCACAAGAAAGTGCCCTTGTCAGTTAACACAAGAGTAGGCCATAGCACATCTCTCCAGGCAAAATTTCCCTTATACCACACCACATGGTGTATGCCTGGAGTAAACGTACAGCACTGAGAAGGCGCTCCCAAGCCACATAAGCTCACACCAGGGACCGGCCAGCTAGATATCGAAGCGCAACACTAGGCCATCCCAACCCCATAAACTTCAAGTGGCCCCAAAAAGCATGTGGTGTCCATTGTGACAAGTCACAAGTGTATGTGGATTTACACAAACTAGGTCATTTAGGGACTAACATGTGGTTCAACTTTATTTCAATAATTCGCTTGCGTGTAGGGTTCTTTAGCAGTGAGAGGAAACTGGAGAAAACCCACAAGATTGGAGAGGCAACACTACTCCTTGTCACGTACAACCAGGGAATACATGTAGAAACCATGCCAGTTGACTCATTGACAGACCTTATGATATAATGCGCACTGGTCTGTTAGAACATCTATTGTGATAACTGTGGATACAATTAAACTTTATTTGATGCAATGTTGTATATTTCAAATATAATTATAATGTAATAATATACATAGTCAATTGCGTCTTTTTCTTTTCAGATATTTTCAAAATCTGAAAAATTGGTTCAAACAAAAGGTTGGTTTCATAGACTGTTGAGTTTTTAGAATTTATATATTTGTGATTGTCGTTTGTCTGTTTGCTCATCTGTTGTGGGTTGGCGGCTACAAGGGCTGCCTCGACAATGTAATGTAGTTTAGGCTCCCGGTTACCTATTTAGGGTGCCAGTCTCCGGGTTACCTATTTGGGGTATTTTCCGGTATTTAGTGTTTTTCCGGTGTTCAGTATAAAATGGTGTTTTCTGGTTGTTTTCCGGCATATAGTATTGCCGTTTTAAGACTGTAATATAGTAACAAAGAATGCTATGATAATATGTGCAATAGAAAGGGTGATTAATTTGTGCATACAGTGATAATTCTGTATACCATTATACCATACTGCTAGTAACTTTTACATGTTATCTTGTTTATGGGAAGCTATCCTGGAGGTCGGGTGTTCGATCCCTGCATTGGCCGAGAAAGTTCATCCAGATTTTCCGGCGTGGTTCTCCCTTGTCAGTGATGCAGGACGGAGGGGCTGACAAGGAAAGCTGTCTAGTCGTTCGGATGGGACGAAAAACCGAGGCCCCGTGTACACATTGGCGTGCACGTAAAAGATCCCTTGGCAGTTGGAATTCGATATAAGTTTTAGCCGTAGTGTCGCTGTCTGGGCAAAATTTCTATCATAGCACACTGTATGGCGTATACCCGTCTTCATTAGCCCAGGTTAGGAGCAGAACAGTAGGACGTTAAACCCCATTTCATTTCATTTCATTTGTTTATGGGAAACACAAGATCCAGTGTACACATTATCGTGCACGTTAAAGATCCTTTGACAGTAGGAATTCGATATAAAAGTAGGCCGTAGAGGCACCATCTGGGAAAAATTTCACTCATATCTCACTGCATGGCGTAGGCCCATCTTCATTAGCCCAGTCAAAGCAGAAAAAATTTGGATTTTAAACCCAACATCATTTTATTTGTTTATGGAACTGTACTTAAATAACCTAGGTGTTATTTAAAAATCAATGCTAGAGGGATATTGAAGACATACTTCCAGTGTGAACCATACAGAGAAGAAGAATAACATTTTATTAACACTAATTTATTCAATATTTCAGATATCTAAGGAAGATTTTGATTTAGAATCAAGAAAGTTGTTCAAGTCAGAAGAAGGTAATTAAATATGCGATTTCAGAATATATTTTATGGACAAATATAAATCATAATTGCTATTCCTTTATGTTTTCGATTTGTGTACAGGTTTACATGTATTTATTTACTTTTGTACTTGTATGCTGTTTAGAGATTCCGGTTTCCTCCCACTGCTAAAGACCCTTACGCGCAAGCGAATTATGTAAATAAAATTAAACCATATGTTAGTCCCGAAATGACCTAGTTTGTGTCAAGTGGACGTTAAACCCCATCTCTCTCTCTCTCTCTGTTTAGAGATTTATCCCAGCATTGGTTGAGAAAGTTCATCAGGATTTTTCGATGTGGTTTTCCCTTGTCAGTGGTGCAGGACAGAGGGCCTGACAAGGACAGCTGTCTAGTCGTTCGGATGTGAGGTCCTGTGTATACATTGGCGTGCATGTAAAAGATCCCTTGGCAGTTAGAATTTGATTTAAGAGTAGGCCATAGAGCCACTGTCTGGGCAAAATTTCCCTCAAAGCACACTGTATGGCGCATTCCGGTCTTCATTAGCCCATAATAGGAGAAAAAACCCATTTCATTTCATTTTTTTTAGAGATTTTAAACATGATTTTTTAAAACTTTGTTGGATTGTGATGAGACTAGAAAGATAATTGTTCAGGATTTTTCGACATGGTTCCTCTTTGTCAGTGATGCCTGACGGAGGGACTGACAAGGTCAGCTGTCTAGTCATTAGGATGGCACGAAAAACCGAGGTCCTGTGTACACATTGGCATGCACATAGAAGAACCCTTGATAGTTGGAATATTAGAGTTAGGCCATAGTGCCACTGTCCGGGCAAAATGTCCCTCATAGCACACTGTATGGTGTATGCCCGTCTTCATTTCATATATATCATTGTGTGGCAACCTATTTTTTATATTTCAGTTCATCTACACAATGAGTTTTTGTTAGCAATATTATCACGATGTCAGATGCTTGGTTCTACTCTCAGTAAGTACTCAAATAAAAACATCAATTTAACTAATTTTTGTATGTAGATTTTATAACAAATCACTGTTTAAAACTTGGAGAGCTTACTTACATCCCTGAATATATATTACACTCATATAGCTTGCCCAACCTTGTGGGTTTTCTCCGGGTCCTCCAGTTTCCTCCCACTGCTAAAGACGCCTATGCGCAAGCGAATTATTGAAATGAAATTGAACCATGTGTTAGTCCCGAAATGACCTAGTTTGTGTTGAGTGGACGTTAACCTCCCCCCCTCTCTCTCTCTCTCTCTTTCTCTCTCTTGTGATTATATTCCAAATTATTTGTCACACTTAATTTATTAGGATAACATGGAATAATTGTATTTTGTAGTTCCTAAAGATCCAACCATAAAACCAGTTCATTCTGGAGGAAGTAAATTATTAAAGAAAGGAAAGTTAAAACGTAGATTACCGGATGGTAGAGGAGATTACATAGTAAGTTTATTCTATTGAGTTATTGGGTTTTCCCTGTTTCTTGTCACTATATGACTTGCATGAAAAAGAACCCTTGATTGGTGGAAATCGAAAATGTTGCTCTGCAGGGAAAATTGTCCAACCTGACATTGAACACATGTCCATAGTAGTGCTGGGTATTTCCACTGCAGTCACGATACAATACGTATTGCGATTCATGTGCTATGATACGATTCATATCAGGTCAAAATTTACCAAGAAAACAACAGGATAAATGAATAATTGATATTTTTAGTCATGCTGATTTCAAAGAAATATAACTGTTTTATATTACGATATTGATGTGGATCAAAATGAGGACCAAAACAATTTAAGGGTGTTTGTGTTCCTATGGATAATGTGTGGCGTGAATAATTAAGAGTGACAGGTTACTTACCGAAGTGACAAAACAAACATAAAAAAAAGAATCACGATACATCACGATACATCAATCCAGCATCTCACTATTCAATATGTGAATCGTGAGAAGGTGAATCACAATACATCGATTCAATGATATATAATGTGTCAGCACCAATTCATAGAAGTTAGATTTAACAGTGGTAGTCTTAAAATTACCAAAGTATTGTGTGGATGAGATGTTAATCCCTATTCCATTCTTATTAAAATGGTCACAGGGGAAACGTCCTACAGAAATCCGAAACCAACATAAACTATATAAATCAAAAACATGTCGTACTTCATGTAAAATATAAACAGGCCCTACAAAAATCTGAAAACATCATAAACAAGATAATGCTGAAACACGTCTCTGTCGCACACAAACATAACGATTGCCATACTTCATGTAAAATAAACAACTATGGTGTGACTATATCACATCATACAGATAAAACTATTGTCAGAAAATTATTCGATTTTTTTAGCTAGTGTGCCACAGAAATTAGACATTTTTTGTGTTTTTGAAATTTCAGCAGAGATTTTCACCTGTGAATGCTACAGCTTATATACCAGTAGCTAGTATTAGATCTACAGATGATGAACTTAGACTTAGTAAGTATTCATTACACACCTGTTTATTTTATATTGTCATCTTCTTTAACCCATTTTCAATGAATTCTCAAGAGTATTTAGTATTGCTATTCCGCCGTTCTCCGTGAGTAGTCGTAACTTTACATCAATAAACTATCTGTGACGTCGTTTTAGTCCTTCTGTTCATATTCTAGTCTATATTTCTATGAGCAGAAGAACTAAAATGACGTCACACATTGTTTATAGACGGAAAATTACGACTAGCCATGTAGAACGGTGGAAATTACTAACGTTGAAATTTACCTGTTGCAGGTAATATTGACATTTGGGTTCGTGTTACACTTATGGAAAGAATATGTTGACATAATTACTGGCATTATTTAAAAAAATTATGAAGCTTTTCCAGTGATGTTTAAAGCCTTTCAGTCATTTGCAAGCCCATGAAATTAGAATTCAAAGAATATAACATTAAATAACAGTAAATGCCATTAAATTTATACTTTTTTTCTGTAAAAAAAACTTTAAAATATATAAAACGAAATACCTTAAAAATTATCAATCTGTCAAAATTTTGAAGAAAAACCCTGATTGAAGGTGTCATCAATTATAAACGTCATGCATTGATTGAAAATACAATGTTTATCTTATTAAGGTTTTGTGGCGAGAGAATGTTTATTACCTGATGAATCCATGGTGCATGGCCGTATGTTAGTCTCGGCCTGGGAAACTGGATTACAGGAAGTAAATGAAACAGCAGTAAAAGTTATAGTACAAGCTGTTGAGGTATGATATTAAAAATTATTACAATAGCTTCAACACATGCGAGAGCCACGGTGGCTAGGCCGGTTAGACATTGGTGTGCTAACCTGGTAAGACATTGGCTCGCTAGCCTGGAGGTCGGGTGTTCGATCCCTGCATTAGACCGAGAAAGTTCATCCAGTGGTTCCCCCCTTGTCAGTGGTACAGACGCTGGCTAACTAGTCTGAAGATTGCAGGTTCGATCCCGGTGTTGATTGAGAAAGTTCATCGGGATTTTCCGACATGGTCTCACCTTATCAGTGGTGCAGGATGGAGGGCCTGACATGGACAGCTGTCTAGTCATTTGGATGGGACAAAAAAACTAGGTCCCTTGTACACATTGGCGTGCATGTAAACGATCCCTTGGTAGTTGGAATTCAAAATCAGGGTAGGTCTCATCGCTGCTGTTGGGCAAAATTTCCCTCATTGCACACTGTATGACCATACCTGTCTTCATTAGCTCAGATGGAGCAGAACAGTAGGATATTAAACACCATTTCATTTTGGAAATGTGACACATGGCAGCCTATATTTTTGTCTTGGACATTTTGTAGATTTTTGGCGTTAGATTTGTTTGTTAAACAATATTTATCTGTACAGATAGTACCGAATAGAGTATAAAACACTTTCCTGTATATGACACCAAACTCGTGGGTTTTCTCCAGGTCCTCCGGTTTCCTCCCACTGCTAAAGACCCCTACGCGCAAGCGAATTATTGAAATAAAAATTAAAACCATATGTTAGGCCCGAAATGAACTAGTTTGTGTCGAGTGGATGTTAAACACCACCTCTCTCTCTCTCTCTCTCTCTGTATATAACATCTGAGGAGGTTTATTTTTTTGTTACTTGCCACTGAATGTTGAAATTCATCTTTTTTTTTTTCAGACTGAATTGAAAAATATTTTAAGTTGTGTTTTATCAAGACGGAGTGGGTATAAACTGAGAGAGAATAAGTTTAAGTTTGCTATGGGTAGTGATATTATAAATCCATATTTAAGACATAGTAACCTTCTACATGATTATAGTATGGATCAGTAAGTATTTTGTTTGTTGTTTCATACCAAAGTTCTCTGGTAATATTGCAACCAGGTAATTTTACAATCTGGTAAACTGGTAATTTTAAAAACTGGTAAATTTGTTATTTTTAAAATCTGGTAAATTAGTAATATTACAATCTGGTAAATTAGTAATTTTACAATCAGGTAAATTGGTAATTTTAAATCTGGTAAATTGGTAATTTTACATTCTGAAAATTAGTAATTATACAATCTGGTAAATTGGTAATTTTACATTCTGATAAATTGGTAATTTTAAAATCTGGTAAATTGGTAATTTTACAATCAGGTAAATTGGTAATTTTAAAATCGGGTAAATTGGTAATTTTTAAAATCGGGTAAATTGGTAATATACAAATCTCAAGATTCAGATTCAACATCAGGGGGAGTTACAGAAAGAGTCTAGTTTATGGACTGTTTTGCTTTGTTTCTAACATGGCATGGTGGTCGAGTTGTCTTATAGACATGACAGACTTGTACACATTGGGATAGTCATGATTCATCACTTATATGGAAAGCTGAAAATGCTGATAATTGTCCCAGATTTGTCTGTTTACCTTGCAACTAAACAAGATATTCTAAGATGATAATTTAATCTTTTGTTTTTATTTCAGAGAAACTACGAAATTATCTACTGCAGGAAATCAGATACCATGTTTAAAACCTCCGTTAGATATCGGTGAAGCTGGGGCAACTCAACAATTATCAGCCATTACAAACCCACCTAGTGATAAGGGGCATGTTACTCTGTATGACTTACTAGATGCCTTGCAAGTAAGTTCACAATTTTGATTTTGAATAAAATTGTCATTTCTGAGTTTGTTATAAAGGTAGATGTTGGGATTGGGAATTTATCGACGTGAAGGAAAGTTTAGTAACATATTTTATCAATACAAGCCACATAATGCTCAATCTCAACAGAGGTTGAAGCAAAAACACAGCTGAAACCAAAGCAAATGTAACAATGGGTAATGCCCCCGTCAGGCCGGGATGGCGTCCTTACTGCGCTGCTGCGAACGTGTACGGTGACCAGTAAATGCACAAGGTCTTCACAAAATGTCCCAAAAAATTACAAACTTTACAAACACAGCTGAAACCAAAGCAAATGTAATAATGGGTAATGCCCCCGTCAGACCGGGATGGCGTCCTTACTGCGCTGCTGCGAACATGTACGGCGACCAGTAAATGCACAAGGTCTTCACAAAATGTCCCAAAAAATTACAAACTTGACAAAAGCTACGTTCTCACAGCTTTCAAGGTCAGATCACAAAACCTTGGCGTTTGTTTTGAACATGCTCAAAACAAAAAACGCTGTGACTCGGCAATCGTTTGTGACCATGGAGACCACAGTAGAATATCTCGCATTTCCACCACACTTTTACCACACTTCATGGCGATCTTGACACACTCTGAGACCATTTTCTGTAGCAGCGCAGTAAGGACACCACCCCGGTCTGATGGGGTTATAACAGGTCAAGGTCTGTTATTAGTGGTTGCTCTTACCCCATGGTTATTATCTACAAATCTGATTTAAAATTCTGATTATTTATTGTACTTTAAAATCTTAAAAAAAAAATTGTATTATTGTCTTTTATTTTCCAGTTGAATAGAAATACCATTCCGTCTCATTCCGTGTATGCACCAACGATAGAACGTATTATACACAAGTTATGGCATCCGAGTCATGAAGAATTAGACCAAGATAGTATACATCAACAAGAGATTAATTTAAAACAACAATTAGCCAATGAACAATCAGCTGTTAGTTGATAGTACAAGTGCCATAATTATTATCTCTACTTATATAGGCAGCATTTCAGTGTTGACATAAAATTACTCTTGAAGTGGACTCTGAAGTGGAATACTCTTGAGATAGTTTGATTGTGCTTAAAAAACAATATTACATGGTCTTTGTCTCAGAATAATTATTAATTGACCTTATATTAAGTTTAATTAAGGAGTGAACACACATAAGTGGATATTCCTTTAGACCTTATTTAGGACACTCTTTCCAATTGTTTATGAAACGATTTTGAAATTTAGGTTAACCGGTGGACTGGACACACTAGCCGAATGATTTGGCTGAATTAATCTGCAGCGAAATTTACGTAGTGTGTCCACTATCATTTGGCCGAATGATTCGCCTGAATCAAACATACATGTACCGGTATATTCGGCCGAATTATATTCGCTTAGTGTGTCTGCTACACTGATGCATTTGTCCGAATGTAGAATTCATTAGCCAATCACCACTCATCATTCACTCATGTCGAGAAGTTATGTGATTGTTTGAAGAAATGGTTGCCGCCAGTTTTAATCATGTGACGTGAAAGGTGATGCGATCGACTAGTGAATCAGGCGAAGGATTCACCTAGTGTGTCCACCCATTCGGCAGCATAAAATTTGACGCCGATTGATTCGGCCAAATAAAATTTGGCACCACTTGATTCGACCGAATCGAATAAAATTTGGTGCTGATCGATTCAGCCGAATAAAATTTGGCACCCCTTGATTCGGCCGAATCGAATAAAATTTGGTGATGGTTGATTAAGCCGAATATAATTCGGCGTCGATTGATTCGGCCGAATAAAATTCGACGCCGATTGATTCGGTCAAATGATTCAGCTAATGTGTTCATCACTTTAGGAAGAGATCAGAGAAATAGAAACAGTGATATTGTTCTGTTTAGGCTAATGAATACAAGTGTTATGTTATAATTATGACAAGATGGGTTCATTGCGTATCCTTATCGAACTGGTAAATAATTGTTTTATTGTTGATCTAATAATGGTATTACAGATATTTCTTTCACATTGGCATGGACGTAAAGAACCTTTGGCAGTTGTAATTTGATATAAGAGTAGGCTGTAGCGCCGCTGTCTGGACAAAATTTCCCTCATAGCACACTGTATGGCCGTTTTCATTATCCCAGTCGGAGTAGAATAGTAGGACGTTAAACCCGGTTTCAAAAATCTGGATTTAAAACTGCTTATAATTTGAAGAACAATCTTGTGTAGAATTCCCTTAAAAGGGGTCTTTTGTAGCCTGAATGAATCTTTGATGTGCTATAGAAATTAGAATGTGTAAATTATTTAAATGAAATGAGGCTTAATTAACTTTCTACTTTTCTGCACCAACTCGGCTAATGAAGACGAGCAGTGTGCTATGAGGTACATTTTGCCCGGAAAGTGGTCCTATGGCTTACTCTTAATTCAAATTCCATCTGTGAAGTGTACTTTTACATGCACCCCACAGTCTACTAGAGACAAGACCCTACACCACTAACAAGGTTAAACAAATGAAGTTTAACGTTATACTGTTCTGTTCCGATCTGGGCTAATGAAGACGGTCATACACCATACAGTCTGCAATGAGGGAAATTTTGCCCAGACAACTGCACTATGGCCTACTCTTATATCGATTTCAAACTGTCAAGGGATCCTTTACGTTCATGCCCATGTGTACATGGGACCTCGTTTTTTTCGTCCCATCTGAACGACTAGACAGTTGTCCCTGTCAGGCCCTCCTGCCTGCATCACTGACAAGGGGGAAGCACGGCGGAAAATCTGGATGAACTTTCTCGGCCAATGCAGGGATCAAACACCCGACCTCCAGGCTAGCGAGCCAGCATCTTGCCCACTTAGCCACCGTGACCCATAAGGGGAAACAAATTAAATAGTTAGATTGTGGATCACAATAAAGCCTGTAATAGCAGTAAGTTAGGAAATCAAGATAAAGTCTTAAATATTTCTAAGTGATATTATGTATACAGTAATACTGTCAATTATTTTGTTAACTTTTTATATGTGAATATGTATATATTAAAGATTAAATCATTTTTTTTTTTACAAAAAGATATGTTGTAAGAAATGTAATTTTAACCTTGGTGTCCAATACATTAGAGTGACTATGGGCATAATCAACTGAACTTTCCATGATTGTATTCTTTCAATCGCAGGGCAATCGAGTGAAAAAGGGGATTTGGGGCTACAACGCTTGCACCGAATGAAGAAATAAAAACCACAACCAACAACAGATGAAACATATCTGTTGTGTATAATTACATCACACGTCTTCTCCCCCACTACTTTAGTTGATCGGACAGATGGAACTGTGACAGCACTGAATTCTTTGTCAACCAATTGCAATTCTGTCAATTCTGAATGTTCGGATTAACACACCCCCTTACACATCATAACAACATAGGTTGTACTGAACACTGTTCTTTGGCTACTCTATATTGTCCTATATTACCAGTACCATTTTTAACGAAATTCAGGGATAAATTGCCATCTGGTAGAAACCGTTGTGACTCAGATAGTTTCATCATCCAGAGATAAGGTACAATATTATGGTCTTCCCTAGGGGTCTATTCTAGGACCGCTTCTGTTCATAGTGTTTATACTTCTAATACTTCTAATGTGTACTGTTCTCATAGAGGTTAGATTGAGGATAGAACTATTCATGCACCAAGTTTGGATTTGGATCGACAATCTGGTACCTCAGTCACTCAAAAGCCTTTGTAACTAGCGAGGAGTATGCATATGAACATGCATTCCAGCTTTAAATGAAATGAAATGGGGTTTAACGTCCTACTGTTTTTCTCCGACTAGAGACGGGCATATGCCCTACAGTGTGCTATGAGGGAAATTTTGCCCAGGTAGCGGCATCATGGCCTACTCTTATATTAAATTCCAACTGCCAAGGGATCTTTTACGTTCATGCCAATCTATACACGGGACCTCAGTTTTCCATATCATCCGAATGACTAGACAGCTATCCTTGTCAGGCCCTCTGTCCTGCACCATTAACAAAGGGGAACCACGCCAGAAAATCCTGATGAACTTTCTCGGCCAATGAAGGGTTCGAACACGTGACCTGGCTTTTTATGACAGGATGTCTGTATAATTAACCCCGGGACTAACAATGCTTTGTATATCAACTGAAACACTGTGATGATTAGGACGTGCATACCAAGACATTTCATATGGCACTTTGAACAGTAATGATTGTCTTACACCATCTTACCCACATCACTAACAATACAGGATTCACTCAGACCTCCCAAATTAAAGAGAGACAGAGAAATGGGATGTAACGTCCTTGACACAAACCAGGTCATTTAGGGACTAACATATGGTTTAATTTTATTTCAATAATTCGCTTGCGTGTAGGGGTCTTTAGCAGTGTGAGGAAACCGGAGGTCCCAGAGAAAACCCACGAGGTTGGATAGGCAAACCTACTCCTTGTCACGTACAACCGGGGGATCGAAACCACGCGAGTTGACTCAATGACAAGACCTTATGATACAACACACACAATGCCATTTGGGCATCCCTCTAATAATTAAAATATCATACTTTATAAAGAAAAAACATACTAAATTCATAATATTCATTATTTTTATTTGGTCAACATTTGACTATATTGGCAACAAATTCCTTTATATCAAAATACAGTACAGTTTAACGTAAATGTAATTCAATTAATGAACTGCCAAATTTACAAATCTTGTTAAAACAAATCCACAATGCTACAGTATAGTTTGGACGGAACAATTGTTAAGAGATTATCCAGCTTTAGTTTAAATTGACTTAAATTGGATGGAGTCATTAGAGTGTATTGTTTTTGATTAACATAATAAAAAAAAACAACATTAGGCACTAAATTTAAATTTGGCAATTGAAGAGGAAACTAGACAACAGTATAAAGACATTTCAGATTCAAAATTCAAACCAAAATCACAGAAAAAAGAAAATTTGAAATTAAAGTCAAGAGTTATTCTAATCCAAATCATGCGAGATACTTAAGAATTTCAATCTACTCTCATCATGGCGGTGGTCCAGCTGCATGAACAAATAACAAAATGAAGTTAAACATCTCTACTGTCTGCATCAACCAAGGTAATGAAGACTGGGAATACACCATGTAGTGTGATGATGAGTTAGTTGTATTTTACGTCCGCTTCCACCGAGGTGATATCGCAGACAATCCATGTAGTGTGCTATCAAGAAGAATTTGCCTGGACTGCGTTGCGACCTACATAATCTTATTTTTAATTACAATTGTCAAGGGTTCTTTTACATGTACACTGGATCTCAGATTTCTGTACAGATGGGGTTTAACGTCCAATCGACACAAACCAGGTCATATTAGGGACTAACATATAGTTCAATTTTATTTCAATAATTAGCCAGCGTGTAGTGGTCTTTAGCAGTGTGAGGAAACTGGAGGACCCAGAGAAAACCCATGAGGTGGAACAGGCGACCCTACTCTGTACAATCTGAATATCTAGACACTGTTCCTTGCCAGGACCGTCATCCCGCACTGCTCACAAGGGGAAAACCCTTTGAGTGTAAAATCAATTGTCTTATTGCGTGCATTCCTAGACGCTGTTCCTTGCCAGGACCGTCATCCCGCACTGCTCACAAGGGGAAAACCCTTTGAATATAAAATCAATTGTCTTGTTACATGCATTCATGTCCATGTTAAGCTCCATATTTGAAGACCCTATCAAATGGATAAAATTTGTTGGCTTTTTCAGAATTTTCTTTTTTCTGGAATATGTTAACTAGACTATAGTAACTTGACCGAGACTTAAAACCATATAACTCTTCTAACCCACCAATTTGGCAATTAATGTGATGCAAGCAAGATTAACAATGATGCATCCTTATCACATATTCAAAAGACAGATCGACCTCACTGAGATTAAACAAGATGTATTATGCTGCAGTTGTGTTTTTTTTTGTTAAAATTATTCATTCTCAGAAAAATTTTAAAGGTATTAGGACTATCATATATATCTATATATATATATAAGCGATCAGACATCCTTTTTGTTAAGATCATTCTTCTCACAATTTTTTTTTAAGTTATTAGGTATACATAAGTGATCAGACATCCTCATATTTCATTCTGTATCTCTCTTTATATAAAATACAAAAATATACATCTAATAGTATAATACATACATACTTATATACTGTTCTACAACCAAGCCTGGAAATAAGGCACCTGTCACTGACAATGTCAGGCACAGATTCAGGCTTTGTCAGGCACTAAATCTCTGGTGCCTGTCATTTTGTCCGGCACTGATCTGTCTTTTTTATTGATATTATTAATACATGTTCGGCACTAAGTTAAAAATGTCAGGCACTATTTCATTAGTGCCTGATATTTTGTCAGGTACATGTAAAACCGTTATTTCCAGGCCTGAGTACAACTATAGTCTATACCCCGGTAATATGCTAATCAAAATATCACAAACACCATAACATGACTCAAGGAGTACTGTAACCAGTATGAACATACTATAGACCAGGAACTGACCATGTTGTTGGATGAAATTCAAAATCTGATTCACTAAATCGATGCAGAATTGTTCAAAGAAGAAGCATGCCAATTTTCATGTCGATCGGATTTGAATTTGTGGAGCCTTAAGCTTTTTCAAAGTGCGTTACCCAAAGAACAAGGACTGTTCCCCATGTGCTACTCATCGTCTTGTTGTTCGTGGGAGTGACGCTCTTCGAAAAAAAGTCTAAGGCGCCCACAATTTAAGTACGATTGGACTCGAATTGATTGAGCCTTAGGTTTTTTAAAGAAGCGTCACCCCGAAAACAAGAACAAAATGAGTAGCGGTTAGCGACTAGTTTCTGGTCCAAAAATTGTTTATGAATAAGGAACTGTTCCCCAAGTGCTACTCATCTTCTTCTTGTTCTTGGGAGTGACGCTCTTCAATAAAGTCTAAGGCTCCATAGGACATCACAAGATGGCTGCAGTTCCTGGTCCATAGAATGCCCATACTTGTTCATAGTAATCAATTAAATCTATGTCAGAACTGATACACACTGGAAGAAACATATAGATTACTTTATATTTATAAGGCCATGGCAACAAATTATCAGATCATCAAAATGAATTGTGAATTTCTAAAATTTAATCAATGACAATTCTAACATAATAAATTAGTAATACAAGAATATATGAATCCATTAATTAATTAAATTTTATTTTTCTTCAAAAACAAGATCAAAGTTTAATAAAAATTTCTTAAATCCTTGAAGAGTTTAGATTTTCTGAAATTCAAATGAAGTAACCTTTCTGGCTTGTGAGCTGGACTGTAATATCTATCTGAGAAACTATCTTGTTTAACATCAAATTTTCTTCACCAACATTAAATAATTTGTGTACATATATAAGGCATTCAAATTAATTATAAACATAATATAATATAATATAGAATTTCAAAACAAATACATGACATAGATAGTAGTTTACATGTGGTTAAGTGGAAATGCCCTACAAGGTATATATATAAACTATACATTATGAATAGAATGAGAGAAGGATTATACAGAAATAAAACCATAAAAAATAAATAAATTTAATATTTACACTACATACAATTTCTATGTAACACATCAAATGCAAAATAAATGTCTTTCTTTAAAAATCAACAATTTTCTCACGTTTGCTTTATTTCTCTATAAGTCATGGTCTTCTTCCCTATCTCTTGGCCAGCGCAATCATGTTTTCTGCTTTGGTTCAGGGTTAGCTCCCTTTTTTCATATAGAAATATACTATGATATACTATTGTCACATACTCACATTATAACCCTTGTTTGATTCGAGTTACCATGACGATTATCCCAGACACCGATCTTTTAAATTGGTGCTTTGATGGCAGGACACAGCACTAGTTTTTTTAAGATTGGAATAAAACTTCCTGAGAATATCCTCTAATCCTGTTATTCCAAATCATTATAGCATTGCTGCAAGAGGTAAACTGCCAATTGGTAATCAAATCGGACTGCCAAGACAGATAAACAATAAGAAATGTTTATGATTATATATATGTGAGATCTCGTTCCATGTTTTATATAATAAATAGAGGAACCAAAGGTGTATTTCATTATCAATCATTTCCTTATGAGCAGAAATATTTCCAGATCTTCTTGTCAATCAAGAGTTTTTAGGAGTCTCGCTCGGAGCGCTGATGCCGTTTATTGTGTATTTTAGTACACGTTTCAACAGTCTCTGCTAACAGTGTTTCAAAGATGGAGTCTGTTAGCGCGTGTTTCACATCAAGCTCGGCACTATTATAATCTAGCCATCCTGGTTCTTCTAGTCGAAGATCGTCTGCTAGAATATTGTCCACATGGTCCCTTCTCTTATGCAATGAAAACTTATTTTTGACACGATCCGATTTTCGTACACCATTTAACCCCAGGAGTTCATTGACTGCTTTCTGAACGATAGGTCTTAAATTGTCAACCGTTGTAGGAGGGGTGTGACTTTTACTATACTGAGGCCGTTTATAAGTAGGTTTTTCCCAGGGAAGAGGTTCAACAACTTCCTCTTGACTATAAATATCACAGATTATCTCCCCTGTTAGATCAAACAACATACGTTTGTATGTTTTCTCACTCTGTTTCTCCATTGTTAGATTTTCGTCTTTCGTATCGTAAAATGATTCTGGTGCTACAACGCCTGTGAACGGTTCTCCACATCTGCGAGCATTCCAATAAATATCAATAGCATTATCGATTATTCTCTCCACTTCAGCTTTCTCGTGAGGAACAGCATAAACAATTTTTTCCACTTTCGGTGTCGCTGGTTTTGTAGCATCTGATAAAAAAAAAAAACAATGATATAAATCCAAAACACATGAATTATAACAGTTCAAATTTTTTTTAAAAAAAAGTAAGTGATCTCATCAGAATTGATGTGAAGAGAGAGAGAAATGGGGTTTACCGTCCACGACAAAAACCAGGTCATTTTGGGACTAACATATGGTTCAATTTTATTTCACTAATTCACTTGTGTGTAGGGGTTTTAACAGTAGGAGGAAACCGGAGGACTCGGAGAAAACCCATGAGGTTGGAACGACGACCCTGCTTATCGTCCAATTCAAACTGTCCTAGTACTTTTAATGCACACACCAATGACAAAAGGGGAAAGAAAGCTGTGGAAAGCAAGCTGGAAAATCTTGAGGAACTGTTTCGATCAACACCGGATCAAACAGAGCCATCGTTGTCCAGGACATGTGAAATCAACTCAATCTTCTTCATAAAGGCTGCATACACTAATTGTTTTCATACAACAAATGACCTTCCATCAGATCAAATACTTATTTCCAATAGCAATAAGTTCATAAACCTAGCATCATGCCTGCCCTGGTTCATAAATGGTGGATGAGCAGGAAATCAATACAAATTATAGACAAAAAATAAAACGAACTGAGCATCATTATAAACAATTTTAACCGAGCACCATTGTAAAACATTAAACAACATACCTGTTTTATTTGTCCCCACAGCTGATTTACTAACACCTAAAGTTTCTTCAAAATATTCATCTTCAATATCATCACCACCCAATAGATTAAATAAATCATCATCTAATTGTTGAACATCCTATAATATAAACAAATTAACTAAATGTTCATCTAATTGTTGAACATCCTAAAATATAAACAAATTAAATATACCTTCAACTAACTGTTGTACATTCAACAATATAAACAAATTAAATATACCTTCAATTAATTGTTGTAAAATATAAACAAATTAAATAAACCGTCAACTAATTGTTGTTCATTCAACAATATAAACACATTAAATAAATCGCTCTTCAATATAAACAAATCAAATAAATCATTAACTATTGTCGTAAATCCTCTACGATTTAAAATTTAATCCATCATCTAATTGATGCATCATCTAATTGTTGTATGGTACATTCCTCTAAACATAAGTTATTTTTTGTCATAGTGAATTTTACATGATTTTTCTCAAATCATAAGTTTCAATTACAATAATTGCTTATAATAATTCTTTGGAACCTAAAATGTGTCTTTCATACTGGATATCAAGAGCCCACATCGTTACGGAAGAGTAACAACATCAATATTGATTGGAATGAATCAAAAATTCAAATACTGTGGATATTATTGAGTTGGAGCTTTACATAATTTAATTTACTTCTCCAAAAAAAGAAAGAGAACTTCACATAAATTTCAGGGCTAACATATGTTCAATTATATTTCAATAATTTGCTTGTCGTTAAGCAGGAGGAAACAGGAGGAAATCCACAAGGTGGACAGGTAACTTTATTCCTTGTCACATACAAGCAGGAAATTGAAACCACACCATTAAACGTAATGACAGAGAGAGAGAGAAATGGGGTTTAACGTCCACTCGACACAAACTAGGTCATTTCGGGACTAACATATGGTTTAATTTTATTTCAATAATTCGCTTGCAGTGGGAGGAAACCGGAGGACCCGGAGAAAACCCATGAGGTTGGACAGGCAACCCTACTCCTTGTCACGTACAACCGGGGATTCGAAACCACGGCAGTTGACTCAATGACAGGCCTTATACATAATGACAGAACGTTTGATCTAAAGTGCACGCTTCAAACCATTTGGCCATTAAATATGTATACATACCTGTGATCGAGAGCCACCAAGAACAGGAGACAAGGGTCGCTGTAATTCATCTTTTATTACAGCAGATTCTAAACCAGTGTCCGATTGGTCACTTTCAGAACCAATATGACCATTGACCAATGGTTCCTCAGTTTGATTGTTTTGGCGTTTTTTATTTCTAATACCAATCATATGAGTCAGAGCATTCTCTACCAAGGATGTCATGATGTTATCAGCTTCATCATCTGATTTTTGTTCGACAGTCTTTTGCTTCTTTGGTTTTGGTAATGTAGGTGGTGGCACTTTCTGATTTGCTGTCTGCTTGTCTGAAATTTTACCCATCGTATTAACAGAATCAACAAGCAGTTCTGCTGTAATTTGATCGGTTAATTTATCAGCCAGTGCTTCGAGATCTCGACTTGGAGGTTTCTTGTCTCCAAACTGTTCCACTTTATCGGCCGTTTCTTTGATAACTTTATCCAACTCGCTGTCTGTGGTTGTGGAGTTATCTTCCTGATCAGTGACTGAGTCATCTGCCGTCTTTCTCTCTCCAGGTTTCATATCGTCTCTTATTGCACTTATTTCACTACCAGGAACCAGAGCTCCGTGTGCTGGCTTACATTTGAAATAACGACTACATTGTTCATCCTGGTCTTCTTCGGGTTCCTGTAATTCCACACCAGCCCAAATACCTGGCGCCAACTCCACTTTACCCTTGTAGAGTAGAGTTCCCTTCTTACGACCCCACACCAAGACTTCTTCTCCAATCTGAAACTCGGCTAATGGATCTGTGAGAAGTAATGAATTAGTATCACCTTCACCAATCAATGGAGTGTTCTCCTCCCGGGGAGTCAACTCCTCTTCTTCTGTCATCTCTCCGAGCAACTGATCTAAGTCACGATTAGTTGTATCATCTCGTTGACTACCTGCCTTTTTCTCTGAAAGCGAAGGTAAACTGACTGAGATATGTTCACTGATATCCTCCTCACTGACTTGACTAACTGATCTACCTGTAGAGTGAACCTGTGTAGGAACACGTACTGGAGTTTTCTCAGACTCGGATTCCGATTCCACCGTTCTCTCCGATTCTTCATCTTCAAAATTAACCCCATAGGAACTAGCAGCAGATCTCTCTGTACCACTGGAAGGTCTGGAAACTGTCGGAGAGTAGGATAACGTGTGTTGAGATTTTGTATGAGAATCATTTTCACTATCTGATTCCTGGATTCCTGTCAGAGCTGCTGATTCAGACTTTTCTCGATGAGAGTCTTGCTGATCCAAATCAGGTTTCTTTAGATTCAGATCCAGTTTTAATGATCTTGATGCTTCAGACTGAACTGAAATAGCTTCATCAATTTGTTCTGAAATCCGTGAATTGTCCTTTTCTGAGAAAATGTGTGATGCACTTCGATCACTTCTAGCACTTAAAGACGGTTTCAAATTTTGAAGGGAATTTGCAGAAGCTGTGAAGTCCATACTATATGACGGATCATCCTCGACAGCACTTTGTGTTCGATCAACTTCATCACCGACTGGGAGCCTCGTTTCGATCTTCAACAAACCAGAATCAGTTTTGTCAGAAATATCCGAGTCACCCTGAGACAATTCCTCAATGATCTCAGAAACACTGGATTGAGATCGTGGATCCTTGGAATCTTTTTTCTTGCTGTGTTTCTCGGAGCCTGATTGAGCTGATTCACTGCCTTCTGATATACGATCCAGGAATGATGGCTTCTTTTTATCAAGAAGTGGAGATAACTTACTACTTTCTGAAATCATAAACAAAATACTAGGTGAATAATTACAATTAAATGAATGAATGAAAAATTTAAGACTTGAACACAGATTTAGTTCATTATTATTGTGAACTCTGGTGCTGGGTATTGCGATTGTAGTGACGATACAATAGGTATTGCGATTCAGGTGCTAGGATACGATTCGTATCACGATTCATAACCAGGTCAATATTTACCAAGAAAACAACAGGATAAATAAATAATTGATATTTTGAATCCTGCCAATGTCAAAGAAATAAAACTGTTTTATATTACGATATCCTATGGATAACGTGTGACGCGTATAAATAAGAGTGACAGGTTAATTACTAAAGCGACTCCCTCCCCCTTCCCCCCAAAAAAACTATACAAATAATCGTGATACATCAATTCAGCGTCTTGCAATTCAACACGCGATATATTGAAACAACAATATATTGTGCCAGTACGGTTGAGGGCCCTGGTGCACTAATATTTAACAACCTTTAGAATATCTTTCCATCCGAAAAAAAGTGGGAGCTCATCTTCGGATGTATTTCAATTTTAGCCGTTTGGTTTTAGGCTACCTTTAAACAATTTTTTTAAAATCCAAAACAAGTTTAAGACAGTTTACTATTTTCATTACCTCTACTGTCTGAAAGATTGGGAGATGTTTGAGCTGAATCCGAACCATTGATCGTATCTTCATAACTTGAAGAGAAGCTACCTTCCTGATCTCTCTGTCGTTTATTATTAGAATCATCTTTAACATGACTCTTTGTTTTACTTGGATGTTTTATAAGTGGTTTAACAACTGATTTTGGTGGTTCTAGTTCCAGGTCACTCTGTTCATGTTTTAGCTGATTGATGTAATTATCATAAGCCTGTTGTAATATAAAATAAAACATCATAAATATTCATCATAAATATTCAATGACAAACTAGGTCAATAATAAGCTTGCATGTAGGGGTCTTTGGCAGCATGAAGAAACCAGAGGACCCGGAGAAACCCCACAAGATTGGACAGACGACCCTACTACTTGTCACGAGGAATCGAAACCACGCCAGTTGACTCAAAGACAGACCTTATGATACAACATGCATAATGGAGGAGATATGAAAGACGATGTCACTGATGCCAGCTAAATATTTTTGAGATTTTATCGATAAATTTTGGTGATAAAATGGAAGAAGTTTACCTCTACTTGTTTTTTTAGTGATTCTTCCTGGGCCTTCAATTTCTCCTTCTTTCTTTGTTTTCTTTCTTTCTTCAAGATCTCAAACTCCTTCCGCCTTCGTCTTAACTCATCATTAAGGTGACGAATACGACCTTCGTAATCACTGGTATCTGATACTGTGTCTATAAATATATATATATATATATCTCATTGAAATGGGGTTTAATGTCCTATCAGGCTAATGAGCGAGAGAGAGAGAGAGAGAGAGAGAGAGAGAGAGAGAGAGAGAGAGAGTGGGGGGGGGGGCGTTTAACTCCACTTGTACAAACTAGGTCATTTTGGGACTAACATATGGTTCAGTATTCTATTTCAAGGGGTCTTTAGCAGTGGGAGGAAACTGGCTGACCCAGAGAAAACCCACGAGGTTGGACAGGTGACCCTACTCCTTGCCATTTACAAGCAGGGAATCGAAACCAAATCATTTGAATCAATGACAGATCTTACGATTTCACATGGACACATTAAACAACTAGACCACCCAACCCTGCACCCTTCTATCAGTCTAATGACAGGAGGTTAAACACCAGACTGTTTTACATGAATATGGCTAATAAAGACTGTCATACGCAATGCTGTGAGCTGAGAGGGGAATTTTGCCTCGACACAGCTGTTCCAATCCAACTGTTCCTTCTTACTGGTTTTGTATGAAGGGAAGGGGCACTTGGGACATCGGAAGAATTTTGATAGTACATCAGATATTCCAATGGCTGATCAGGTCTTGGTTTTTCGTCTCCGACACGCCTTCCATTTATCCCTAGCCTCGTTAAAAGACTTACCTGTATGTGAAATGGAGTCCTCTGATTCACTTTCAGATCCTGTTCTACGTGACCATGGGGAGGGAAGAGGAGATCCTGAAGGTAGATAACGTTTTAATGGTTTCTGTCGACGACTAACAGAAGTATCAGCTTCAAACGTTTCGTTGGTATATTCATCATTAACAGAACTATTTACTATAGTATCATCACTTGAATCATTTATCCTGAAAATAAAATACATTTAATCTTTTAGATTACCTTCTATTAGTTTAACAACTGAACAATTCCTGACTTATTTTTCTTCCATATATCTCATTCCATGATTCAAAACATTCTTATTTAAGATGATTGATTGAATGAAATGGGGTTTAAAGTCCTACTGTTCTGATCCGACTGGGCTAATGAAGACAGGCATACGCCATACAGTGTACTATGAGGAAAGTTTTGCACGAACAGTGACACTATGGCTTACTCTTATATCGAATTTCAACTGTCAAGGGATCTTTTATGTGCATGCCAATGTGTAAATGCAGGCTCAGATTTTTGTCCTATACAAATGACTATATACATTGTTGCTTGCCATGCCCTCTGTCCTGCACAACTGAAAAGGGGGAACCACACCCGAAAATCCCAATGAACTTTCTCGGCCAACACCAAGATCAAACATGGGAACTCCAAGTTAGCGCGCCGTTGTTTTACTCACTGAGCCACCGCAGTTCCCCCAATCACAATACCAATACTCGTAAATTATATAATAAATTTTTCAATAATTCGCTTGCGCGTAGGGGTCTTTTGCAGAAAACGCACAAGGTTGGACAGACGGCCCTACTCCTTGTCACCTCCAACCGGGTAATCAAAACCACACCAGTTGACTCAATGACAGATTTTTTGATACAGCGCGCACACGCTAACAATTCCGACATCCAACCCTCGCTAATAAATACTTACTTATTTTGTTTATCTGGTGTAACTACAGATAGATCAGTTGCTGATGGTACTTCTTCTGGTATAGATAAATCACTATTACTGTCTTTAACCGATTTATTTCGTTTTTTTCCATCATTATCTTTACTTGCTGTATTTGATCTCTGACTTGATAGCTGACTTGTTGCTGTGTTTGATTCATCTCGAGCTGTAATAACTTGCTCTGATACAATACTCTCACTTTCCTTACGGCTCACAGCTTCATTCTTATTGGCTGTTAAAAATATGAGAATTTCAATAAGCTCTTTAATTTATGAAGTAAATTAATAGTAGAATAATTACTAGCTGGGGTGGGGGAGAGAAATTTCCCTAAACCACAGAATTCTTAAGTTCTAATTTCTTTTTTAGTCCACTATCATTTTGTAAATGGGACACAGTTACCATGTTTTAAACAACAAATTCAATCACTAACAAAAGTGTACAGAGCAGGGTTCTAATTAAAAAAAAAATCCTTAAAAACTAAAATATGTTAAGAACGCAGCTTTTTTATTGGCCAGAGCTCTTGTTTAAGTTCTATTTACCAGTCTTACAGTGGAATTGACCAAGGGAGAACTTCAAGGATTTACATGCCAAAATAAGAAATACATCAAAATTGTGTAGTGAAAGCCGTGTAAAATGCCAATAGAAATCAATTCCAACATTTAAAGCATATGCAATTTTGTGGGTTGTGGTGTGGGTGTAATTTACCCTTTTTGGCGTAGGGGAGTGGATATAATTTGCCTTTATGGGGTAGGGGTGTGTATGTAATTTACCCTTTTTGAAGGTAGAGGTGTAATTTACCTTTTTGACTTGTTATTTTGTCTTGTTTGTTAGTTTTATTACTGGGTTTGACATCAGTAGGTTTATTGTCATCCCATACATCTAATGCTTTCTTCTCTAATTCAAAAACCTTTGCTTCAGCTTCATCTAATTTCTTCTTCCAGGCTAATAATTCCTCCGCACTCTTTTTACGATTTAATAACTTATGTTCTCTTATTGTCAGATATCTGAATAACAACGAAGATAGATATTAGTGTACATGTTGTGGGTATATTTTGCAAGGAAGTCAACCCTACAAAAGGTTAGATACAGAGAGAGAGAGAGAGAGAGAGAGAGAGAGATGGGGTTTAACATCCACTCCACACAAACAAGGTCATTTCGGGACCAACATATGGTTCAATTTTATTTCAATAATTTGTTTGCACGTAGGAGTCTTTTAGCATGAGGTTGGACAGGCTACCCTACTCCTTGTCACGTACACGCAGGGAATCGAAACCATGCCAGCTGACTCAATAACAGACCTTATGATACAGCGTGCACATGCTAACCATTTTGGACATCCAACCCCTCATGAATAATCAAACAAAAGTAAACGCTGTTAAGCATCTTACATAAACAAACAAACATTTAGCTCTTCTCCTAGAAATATCAAATGGGATTTAATTTTTTTTTTTTTTTTTTTTTTTTTTTTTTGATATATATCTTGGTATGTATTCACTTTACTTAAATTGTTAAAGTCCAACTTACTTGTCATTCAGCCATAATTTATGTTGTTTTTCAAGTTTCTTTTTGTCACCTTTTAGAGTTTTGCCACTTTTTTTGTCTGTTATAACTTCTGAATCCGATTTACAATCTAAAAATATATAAATTATTCATTTTAAATTTATGTTTATATATTAGTTCAGACCAAGGCTGGACATAGGCCACCGGTCACAGACTTTGTCCGATACAAATTATCACACAACATATATATCAAGCCTGGAAAATGAAATGAAATAAAATGGGGTTTAACATCCCACTGTTCTGCTCCAGCTGGGCTATGAGGGAAATTTTTGCACGGACAGCGGCGCTATGGCCTACTCTTATATTGAATTCCAACTGCCAAGGGATCCTCTACGTGCCCATTTTTTTTGGTCCCATTTGAACAATTAGACAGCTTTCCCACATAATACATAGTAATATTATAATATTACCTTTGGCAGAAAAATTTTCGTTCAGATCAGATCCTTCTTCAAACTGAAATAAATTTAAAATATGATAAATTTGTGAAAATCAATTTTGAAAGACACCTAAATTAAATATGTCACCAGAAATCTTTAAAACTCTAGCTTTAACATCTGGTTTAGGTTGGTTTTTATTCTTACCTTGGTTCGAACATAATAATAAAATAACACAGCCAACATTTTGTTAAACTTCAAATAAGATTTCTTTCTGATCTACTATTGTTTGATAGAATAAGTCATCCTACATTGAGAAGTTCACAAATAATCAACATTCTTTAGGCCTAACCAAATTAATTTTTAATTCCTCAGTCTTCATAATTAGATAGCCACATGAGTCTTCTAAGCGATGTTTTGTTTAAAATTCAAAAACGTAAAAATTGGAACTAAAAGATTCTGAGAAGAGCAACAGAGTACTGTTTGTCTTTCAATAAATTTTTTCCAAGGAAAGAGGAAGCAAAACTTTTAATAAGAGTTCCCCAAAGAACATAGGTTCAAATTAGTATGTGCTTTATAGACTATATCATTATTAGCAGACATCGCTCAACTGACTAAAGCTTAATTTTTAAAAGGTGTTCCCCAAAAAACAAGAGTTCAAATTAGTGTGTACTTTATAAACTATATCATTATTAGCAGGAGACGTTCAACGAACTAAAGCAATGTTTTTAAAATGTGTCCCTCAAAGAACAAAAATCCAACTTTAAGTGTACATCAATATTTTAAGAGAGATTAATCAAGTAACTACAGTAAGGGTATATATGGTGATTTATTGTTGAGTTGTAACTGTCAGTGTTATATAATATAGATATTTATATTCTTGTATAACACCTAGTTGTAACTGTCACTAGTATGATGTAACAAATGACATGATAAACTTAAAACACTCAATCAATACTAATAAATAGATTCTTAAAGACTTTCCTTCACTGACCATCTATTATATTGGAGAGGACTCCTTTCTGATTTGTTTACTTTAAGCATACATTATAAAAGATCTAGGCCTATAATTCAATGGCTAATATCTTGGTTCAGAGTGGATCAATTTGACAGAAGTTTTCAACATATTCTATTGACGTTATTTATTCATTAACTTTTATAGCGAGAACTGTCAACTCTTTATCTAATCTCCCATAATTCCCCTTTAAAGTAGGGGTCTTTAGCAGTGGGAGAAAACCAGAGAACCCAGAGAAAACCCATTAGGATGGACCGGCGACCCTACTCCTTGTCACGTACAACTGGGGAATGGAAACCACGCCAGTTGACTCAATGACAAGACCTTATGATAGAACGCGCACGCGCTAACCATTTGGCCATCCCTCCCCTCCCCCTCGTTTAATTCAAAGACAAACGAAATGTTGAAATACACTGCACAATATTCTCCAAATAAAGAAATCCGACTTTGTAATAATGGTCTTAGCATGGAAAATGAGAGTAAACCAGACTTACAGCACTAGAATCATCTTCAGTGTGAATATCAGCTGGACGACCTAGTCTACCAGTTAATGTTTTTAAACCATCTTGTAATTTTGCCATTCTCTGTAAGATAAATCAACTCATATTTAAACATGTAAATAATCAGTCATCAGAAGATAGTAACTCGTTAAGAGATATTATTTTGACTGACGTGCCATCTATATATATATATAAATAAATAAATAATATCCAATGATCTAACTCTCAGTTAAAAATATAAAGAAAACCGAAATATTTGAGAGAAAAAAAACGTTTAAAATTTAATTTCTGGCTAGTACTTTCATTGTGTTAAAACGAATCGTCAGGCCATTTTTATGCGATACTATGCTGTGATGCAATAAAATGGCCTGACGACTTGTTTTAACATGATGAAAGTACTAGCCAGAAAATGAATTTTAAATGGTTTTTGTCTCAAATACTTTGATTTTACTTATATATATATATATATACACTAGGGTTATAAGGGCAGCATAAGACGTGGATTGACATAGGCCTGGTGGAATTGCACTACCACTTCCGATTTGTGAGTTAGGGTTAGCGATGTGTCGGAGGATTCTATCCTCGCAACGTCTGGTAAATTGTTAGTGTACTATATCGTTACCTTTTTTTGATGTAATTTAGCTATAGTCTCCTGTTGCTTTAATACAGCTTGACGTTCTTTATTAGCTTGGATATTAGCTTCCTGTAGACGTCGTATCTCAGCCTGAAAACACAACAAATAACTGATTACTTTATGTAGTTGAAATAATTCGCTTGCGCGTAGGGGTCTTTAGCAGTGGGAGGAAAACAGGAGACCCGGAGAAAACCCATGAGGTTGGACAGGCGACCCTACTCCTTGTCACATGCAACCAGGGAATCGAAACCAAGCCAACTGACTCAATGACAAACTTTGTGATATAGCGCGCACATGCTAACCATTCTGCCATCCAACCCCCCAACTAAAAATAAGTTTATCACATCACAAAGAATGTTACAGAAGGATGGAAAGACAGAAACACAATATTCTTTACATTACCTGTTTTTCGTGCAATTCTTTTAAAACAATTTTTTCTTTTTTCTTGATCTGAGGACGAACGTCATCCGCACCTTTATCACGGAGATGATGTTTTTGTTGTTGTAACCATGACAACTCAGCATCAGCTTTCTTCTTTAATGCTGTTTCTCTAATACGAAGCATGGCCGCCTAAAACATAAAAAGATGTTTTCGAATTTATAATTTGTGAAAAGCAGCACTACAGCCTTTTCTTATTCTAATTTCCAACTGTCATATTGTACACAGAACATACGGTATGTACAATTTTGACATAGAGTATCAATATACCGGTACAGGTGACAATTCTATGGAATACAATTACTGCTAATTACTGAGCAAAGTTTTGTCTAGGCTTATCAAGCAATGACTAGAAAAGCCTAGTCGAAACATCGTTCAGTAATAAGCAGTAATTGTATTCCTTAGAATTGTGACCTGTATATTCCAGTTTAATAACTGTTTATATTTTCATATTTTATCATTGCTTGATAATGACTAGAGAAGCCTGGTCGAAAGTTCACTCAGTAATAAGCAGTAATTGTATTCCATAGAATTGTGACCTGTATAGTCTAGTTCAATTACTAAATGCCATTGAAACAATTTACAAACCACAAGCTTAATTATCAACATTAAAATATTGAATATTTAACTTATTTTTTTACCTGATGTTGAGAACGTAACTCTTCTTCCTTCATCAACTGTCGGACCATATCGGCTGTAAATTTACTAAATGTATCACCTCCAACAAATAATGACATATCTCCTACTGATAGTTGACTTGTTCCAGCTAAAATATACATTATATTAATTTGTCAAATTCTGAGAAGGTGTATTCTTTTATACAGATCAAAGAATTACATGTAAAATATACTGGCAATGATAAAGGAGATTTACGACTGTTCTGCTCCAACTGGGTTAATGAAGACGTGCGTATGCCATACAGTGTGCAATGAGGGCAATTTTACCCGGGCAGCGGCACTATGGCCTCCTCTTATATCGAATTCCAACTGCCAATGGATCTTTTACACACACGTGAATGTATACACGGGGCCTCGGTTTTCGTCGCTAACCATTCGAATGTACCCCCCCCCCAACTCCTCAAAAGGGCACACATTTCACCATACCTCCTACACAAACAAATTAGACCAACGAGTTACATACCTTCATCATTATTTAATATACTGTCATCACCTTGATGACGACGTTTAACTTCCTTTCTGTGACTTTCAGATGGTAAAACTTGACGAAAAGATTCATCTTCTGTTATAGATGAATCAAACGATAATGTATAATCACCTTCTACAAATATAAATACATCTCTAATTTACTTCTGTCTTGTTTGTCTTTTGAAATGAAATGAAATGGGGTTTAACGTCCTACCGTTTTGCTCCTAAACTGGGCTAATGAAGACTGGCATATACAATATAGTGTGCTATGAGGGAAATTTTGCCCATACAGCAGCCCTACGGCCTACTCTTATATCGAATTCCAACTGTCAAGGGATCTTTTATGTGCACGCTAATGTATACACGGGACGTCAGTTTTTCGTCCCAACCGAACGATCACACAACTGTCCTTGTCAGGCCCTCCGTCCTGCATCACTGATGAACTTTCTCGGCCAATGCAGGGATCGAACACCCGACCTCCAGGCTAGCGAGCCAGCGTCTTACCCATTTAGCCAGGTCAAAATAAGGACCCAAAAAAATTTGTGTATCTATGGAGAATGTGTGATGTGAAGAATGACGACAAAAAAACATAAAAAAAAAATTGTAAAAAGTCGTGAAAAAATGTATCTCAATACATCGATTCAACGATATATCGTGCCAGCACTAGTCCCTGTAAGAAAGTCCCTTAGGATTGTTTAGTTATATGGATGCGACAAAAAAACAAGGTCGACCAGTCTACTTGTTAGACTGCACGTAAAAGATCCCCAAGAGCTGGAAATCGATAAGTATTTCCCTAACAGCACACCACATGGCTTATTACAAATTTTTAACAAAGACAAACCTGGAATATCTTCTGCTATACTCTCAGCTTTTGATTCATCTCGACCGTCTGCATCACTAGCTGATTTAATGGAAGAAGAATCTGTATCTTGTTGGCTGTCTTTAGCTGTGATAACACTACCACTACTAGATCTAACAATATAAACAAATATGTTATTGATATTTTAGTGTCGACATTGTCTTGAACTAATCATTTATCAATACTTTCATCTGACAAAAACTAATGTGTCCGAAGTACTGAGGGGTTTTGGGTGGCTGAAGGGTTAGGGCGTGTGCGTTGTATCATAAGGTCTATCAGTCAACTGGTGTGATTTTGAATCGCTGGTTGTATGTGACAAGGAGTTTTCTCCTGGTACTCCGGTTTCCTCCCACTGCTAAAAAAACCTATGTGCAAGCGAATTGTTGAAATAAAATTGAACCATATGTTAGTCCCGAAATGACCTGGTTTGTGTCGAGTGGACGTTAAACCCCATTTTTCTCTCTCTCTCTCTCTCTATGGGAGTCAGTCAGATTTATGGCTACACTATGCTATAAAAATATGGTTTATCATAGTCTAGTGGACCAAGAGACCTTATGCACGATCACTCAAATGTCACACATTTGGATATCCTATTCAATTATCTTAACATAAGAAATCGGTGTTACTAGTCGATTCATGAAAGAAATCTGGGATGGCTACTTGCCACTCATATATTTCTAATTTTAATTTTTATTAAGAATTTTACAAATGGTGTCAAGAATTGGAGCAAAAATTAAACTATATTCCTAAAAATGTTTATAAATTAATTATAATTTATAAGGTATTATTTCAGGCATTGAATAAAAAATAACAGAAAAAAATCAACGTGTATCATAAATCATTAGTAAAAATCTTACCTGGATTGTTTGGAGTGACGAGATGTATATGAGGAACCGGTATTGGAAACTCTTGATGCATCTCTATTTTTACGAGCACTGATCGATTCGGTGTAATCTTCTGTATCTGTACGATCACGATTAGATTGACGACCTCTTGTTTCCGTTAAACTATGGGTTGCAGAAACATCACGTCTGATTGGTTGTTCATTTGACTTGGCCGCTGGCGTGGAATGCAATTGAGGTTCCATGTCGAAACTGGCTGGTTGAGTATAGTTACGTTGATTTGTTGTATGTCCCTGTGTACGTAATTTTATGTCATTGAGCTGTTGATTGCTAGCGTGAGCTTCCTGTTGAACCTCTAATTGTAATTTTTTCATCTCGAGATCATGTGACATTTGACGGGACTGAAAATATAAATAAATCTCTCTAATTGTTTAAATCTATTATTACACAAATTTTTACAATTTGTGATAAAGACATCAGAGAGAGAGAGAGAGAGAGAGAAATGGGGTTTAACGTCCACTCGACACAAACTAGGTCATTTCGGGACTAACATATGGTTCAATTTTATTTCAACAATTCGCTTGCACAAACGTGTCAGCAGTGGGAGGAAACTGGACAGGCGACCCTACTCCTTGCCACGTACAACCCGGGAATCGATATAACGCCAGTTGACTCAATGACATACCTTACGACATAACGCTGATGCGCTAACCATTCAGCCATCCACCCCACCTCGGAATCTAGAACTATACATTACTTTTAAATAGTTGAGCCAATTGTGCCTAAATTTGAAATGTTGACTAATATATTATTACCTTTAATACTTGAGCCAATGATACAGATTCTTGTTGTGCTAATGAAACAGCTCTAGTTCTCTCTACACCTGCTAACTGTCGATACGATTCTTCTAAACTTTCTAAACGATTTAACTCAGCCATCATCTGACGATCCAGTGAATTAGGAGAGTAACGTGCTGGCATAGAATGGATGTTTTCTACAGATGGCATCGAAGCAGGTCGCTGTTGAAATAATAAATAATTGGTTACTGTACATTGATTTGATTAAATTTGTGAAATAAATTATTTCAAACAAAGGCATGGAATGGACTTTTAATGAGAGAGAGAAATGGGGTTTAACGTCCACTCAACAGGTCATTTTGGGACTAACATATGGTTCAATTTTATTTCAATAATTCCATTGCACATAGAGGTCTTTAGCAGTGGGAGGAATCCGGAGGACCCTGAGAAAACCCACAAGTATGGACAGGCGACCTTACTCTTGGTCAGGTACAACAGGGGAATCGAAACCACGTCAGTTGATTTAATGACAGACCTTATGATAGAACACACAAGCACTAACCATTCAGCCATCCAACCCCCCGAATGGACTTAGTCGTAACAATATACTTCTAAAATTTTGAGACCATATGGTTAATTGTTTCTCTGGTCATGTATGCAATACTACAAGGAAAAATTTCTTTTTATTCTTGACTGACTTCCAACTAACAAGGGGAAACAATCCCTTGGTACTTTCTGAGCCAATGCTGGGATTGAACCCAAGACCTACTGGTTAGTGATTCAGCACCTTAATCACTGAGCCATCACAGCTCTGTTTAAAATAAAATATTTTACAAACCTTATCAGTTGAACTCCAGTTGTATTGTTCACTGTGTGACAAGTTCTCTGATTTATCTAAATGAGCAGACGGATAATGATCTGACTTCTGTCTGGATCGTGGTCTTAAACTCTCCCTGCAAGTCATAAAAAAATACACATTTTAGGCTCATAATGATCCCTTTTATTAATGTATAGTTTTGTGTTCCATTAGAAGAATTCAACTGTTTCAATGGCATTTAGTAATTGAAATGAAATGAAATGAAATGGGGTTTAACGTCCTACTGTTCTGCTCCTATACTGGGCTAATGAAGACGGGCATACGCCATACAGTGTGCTATGAGGGAAATTTTGCCTGGGCAGCGGCACTATTGCCTACTCTTATATCGAATTCCAACTGCCAAGGGATCTTTTACGTGCATTCCAATGTATACACGGGACCTCGGTTTTTCGTATCATCCGAAGGACTAGAAAGCTGTCCTTGTCAGGCCCTCCGTTGTGCACCACTGACAAGGGGAAACCACGTCGGAAAATCCAGATGAACTTTCTCGGCCGATGCAGGGATCGAACATTTAGTAATTGAACTGGAATAAACAGGTGACAATTCTATGGAATACAATTACTGCTTATTACTGAGCTTGATAATGACTAAAGAAGCCTAGTCATTATCAAGCTAGGGTAGTCGAAACGTCGCTCAGTAATAAGCAGTAATTGTATTCCATAGAATTGTCACCTGTTTATACAAGAATTCAAAAACATTTTCAACAAAATAAAGAGAGAATTGGGTTATATGTCCACTCATCAAAAAACAGGTGATTTTGGGACTAACATACAGTAAATTTTATTTCATATATTGGCTTTGCGAGTATGAGTCATTAGCAATCAGAGAAAACCGGAGAAAACCCACGAAGTTGAGCACAAGGAAATAAAACTTACGATTCAACTAAATTAGAATAAGAATCATCTGTGTCAGTTCCATCTGTATCCTGGGCAGATTTAAATTTATTAGATTCTTGGCGGGACTCAGTCCTAAAATTAGAAAAAAAACCCATACATTTAATCTTTTAAAACATTAATTTTTGGCTCTAACCGAAAATTACAAATTCCAACACAACACAAGCAGGCTCAAAATAAAGGGAGAAAACTCTTACCTCTTAACCTAAGCTCCATATTATCTCCTCTTAGACCACATATAGAAGGAAATAATTGAAATCTACTTCAATGTGATATTAGAAATGGAAAGTGAAAATGAACTACATTTGTGGGTTGGTTGTTTTTTTTATGGGGGGGGGGGGGGTAATAACATAGTTCTGACTTAACAATTTGAACATGAGGGGATGAAAGAAATTCATCTGCCAATTGGGTCTGTATGTTTTGCTGTCTATTTGAAACATAATGTAAATGACTCTGTGTAGAAACCAATGAATATTATTATTGTAATTTAGTTGACTGTATCTTAGAATATCTTGCATTAAAATTCTCATAAACCAGAAATTATCAAGAACTAAATCAAATTAAGAACTCCCGCGATGCACTAATCTTCAGCTATAAAAATGAAAGCATCGATAAAAACACTCACTTCTCTTTCGGTTCTCTAACAGATGATCTCAAGGACACACTAGATCTAGCACTGAAATCATCAGACACCTCACTCTGACTTCTGACACGCTGAGGTCGAAGGTTACTCTCCATATTTACAGCTGCCGGCATCGAGGAAGTATAGTGTTGACCAGAACGAGAGGTGATTCTGGGATCTGTCGGGGGTAGAGTCGACTGAGATATAGTTTCACGTATTTGTTGCTCCACAGGATTTAAACTGTAATTTTCTGAAATGTGGAAAGATAATTAGCATGGAGATTCAGTCATTTATTAATACGCCTAGTAGTTCTAATTCAATCTGATTAAAATACAGATTTATATTTCGTTTCGTTTTTTATACTTTCAATGGTCTACACTACATGAAGATCTGACCAGTTTTACTGAAAGGTCGCGTCAGGGGTCGTTCGAGCGGCTTTTGACTCTATGACGTCAGACATTGATTAATCAATCAGTGTTGACGTTTCTAGAGGTTTACCCACAGTTCTGTGCATGGCATGTCAAGAAGTCGCCGTAACAGATGGTTTTTCGTCCCATCTGAATGACTAGACAGCTGTCCTTGTCCTGCACTACTGACAAGGGGAAACCACGTCAGAAAATCCTGATGAACTTTCTTGGCCAATGCAGGGATCGAACACCCGATCTTCCGGATAGCGAGCCAGCGTCTTACCCACTTAGCCACCGTGGTTAACTGAATAAGTATTATCCAGAAAATATGCACATCTTCATCTACAGCCTACAAATTGGTGATATTCTTGAATTTAACCTGAACAATTTTATGAAAATATTGACAAATATGCTGTAGATTTAAATAAAAGTGGGATGTTTACAGAAAGATTTTATACATTACCTTTACTATGTTTAGATCTGCGATTTAGTACATTCATGACACTATAAGGATCTGATTTAGGTCCCTCCCACTTGTATTTATTGGGAGGATTATAACAAGCACCACCGACAGGTGAATGTCTCTTATCTTTTCTCTATAAATAGATAGAAATAAATAAATTATTTTAAGAGCTAAATGATATACAACTTTATCACTCAATAATACATTCTACAGTAGATGTCGCATGTGTGGTAAATTTCATAAGTTGATTGGTCAATCAAAAAGGAACTATTTTTTTTTTATTTTCAAAGAACAGTTCATTTTTAATTAAAAATAACTTCTTTCTTATTAAAAAGGAACTATTTTTATTTATTTGACTTTGATGGAAACACTGCGTCAATAGAAAGGACTTTGCAATGGTTGAATTGCTGTCAAAAAATGATGTATCACTACGCCGTTATGTAATCAGGTTCAGTAAAGTGAAATCTATAGCAAAGAATTATACTTATTTATTTGTGCATGTAAGAAAGGATTGAGTGATAAGTAAAATCTCCTACTCGTCTTTTTTGATATCAAAAAATATCAACACTCGTTGATAAAGTAAAAAAAACTTGGCAGAGCCTCAGGTTTTTTTTTTACTTTATCGACTTGTGTTGTGTTGATAGAATTGTCTTTAACATGAAGCTGTCCAACCATTTTTAACTTTATTAATGGAGTGTCATTATATTTTAGTTTCTAGTCTAATATAAAGTATTTTTACCTTTGGATGTAATAATTGTAATGAATCATTTTCTGAATCTGGTGTAACTTCACTAAATGTTGATGTTGGCGTTAATTCGGAATCATCATCTTCCTGTAACAACAAGTACTTCATATATCAAAATACAAGATTTAAATTTTAAATATATATACTTTAAGGTCACCGGAAAAGCTTCATAAGTTTTTTAAATAATGCAAATAACCCTAACGTCAATATTACCTCAACAATGAGTCAACTGGCAGGGTTTCGATTCCCCAGTTGTATGTGACAAGGAGTAGGATCGCCTGTCCAACCTCGTCTCGTGGGTTTTCTCCGGGTCCTCCGGTTTCCTTCCACTGCTAAAGACTCATACACGCAAGCAAATTTTTAAAATATAATAGAACCATATGTTAGTCCCGAATGACCTAGTTTGTGTCGAGTGAAGTTAAATCCCATTTTGTTATATCTATAATCTCTAAATGACACTAAAGAATTACTTACAGATCTATGTTTTCTCTGTGCTGTGTTAGAATGTGGATGATTTGGTGATGTCATATCTAAACTTCTTCTAGCCGAATGACCTCTATATGCTGACTGGATACGTATGGCAGCCTCTTTCTGATAATTCTCTTCTAAAACCTCTCTAGCTCGTTTAGCTAAATCCTGAGTACCTAGAAAATTGAAAAGATGGTTAATATTAACAAAATAGTAGCATAGTGATGTAAATAAAATTTTATTATTGATTAGATTTTATACAAATAAATCAGACTTCGTGAATTCATGAAATTCTTTTACTCAAATTACACAATACAATAACATCCACACATTGTTTAGATTAGATTGATAAAAAAAAAAACCCCAAAAACCAACAAAACACATCTAATCTTTTTGAAATAAATATGTTAGTCCTTTGAACAAAAGGGGCAATACTTCCAGCTGTGATAATGCTGTGTGCAGCTGCAATCTTCATTTGTTTGCTTCCAATTAATTGTGATTACAACTAGCACCCGACAGTAGAATATTTAAGAAAATCAAGGAAGCAACATATAGGCCCAACAATACAAATTCTATTGATTCGTCAAACATCTTAATCCCAGAAACCCATGGTAAAGGCCGATCAAAGAGTTAAAAGTGTTAAGATATTTACCTGGTAAATGAACATTAGTTGTGAAGAGGTCTTCTGTTTTACCTACTAGACGATCATATCTACTAGCATATTCTTTATTTTCATTACTTGTAGTTGGTACGGAGGCTATAATAATAACAATATACAGAACAACTTATTATTTAACATTAAAGCTAAATGTTATTATCATTACTTGTAGTTGGTACGGAGGCTACAATAATAACAATATACAGTACTATCAAAACATACATAGAAGATCTTTATTTAACATTAAAGCTAAGAGTTTTAAAGGCGGAGCCATGATGGATCAATGAGTAGGCCACTAGCTCACTAACCAGGAGCTCCTGGATTGAATCCTGGTGTTGGTCAAGACAGTTCCTTGTGATGTTCCAGTCTGATTTTCCTATGTCAATAGTGTATTACGGAGAACCTGGCAAGGAGGGGCATCTATTAGTTCCAATCGGACAATAACAATGCTGCTACCTCATTAAGCCAGAGCTCCGGGTTGAATCCTGGTGTTGCCCGAGATAGTTCAAAATAGGGGGCCTGCCAAGGAAAGATATCTAGTTGTTCTGATGGTATGAAAGACAATAAATTTTCCTGGCCAACAATGGTATCAAATCCCCTTAGTTAGTGAGGAGCTCTTTAGCGAGCCACTGGATCTTGCATGTCAAAGATGATCATTCCAAAGTATATGCTGTACTTACAATGAAATGTAACATGACTATCAGTTGGATTATTATCAATTTGTGAACTGGCTTTAAGTCGACTTCGTAGACTACTGGCCATGTCTTTAATAGCCTGTTTTCGTTGATAAAGATCAGGTTCCGTGTCCGCTGTAGGTAAGGTAGGTGGTTGATAGCTAGAGTCTGCCAACAACCCTGCTTGAGCCTTTCGTTGCTTTACAACTTCAGAAAACCTTGACAGAGCCTCATCAACATTCACGCTAAATTTGGGATCAAGGAGTTTGGGCTTAGCACCATCAGTTTTACTTTCTGTTTTCTTTTCAGCCCTGAATAAAAACAAATTTAGAAATTCTGAATGAATACAAGAGTTTCTGTGGAGCAGTAGACAAGACATGGAATTAACAATTTGTTATTTTCAATACAACTTAACAGAAAAGAAACAGAAACCCAGACATCTTGGCATTGTAATTGTTACATTCGATTCTTTAGATGTTATGAAGGCTAGTAACCTCATTGATCAGATAAGATTCACTACAAATTAACCGAGAGAAAGAAATGATGTTTAACATCCACTCGACACAAAACTAGGTCATTCTGGGACTAACATATGGTTCAATTTTATTTCAATCAATAGTTTGCTTGCGCATAGTGGTCTTTAGCAGTGGGAAGAAACTGGAGGACCCAGAGAAAACCCATGAGGTTTGATCACACACAGTGTGGGTTTTCTCCCGATAACAGGAAACTGCTGCAATGTTTTTGTATATGCTCTATTAAATCATCTGATAATAATATATCATGAACAAGCTTAGAAATGAGAGAGAGAGAGAGAGAGAGAGAGAGATGGGGTTTAATGTCCACTCGACACAAACTAGGTAATTTCGGGACTAACATATCGTTTAATTTTATTTCAATAATTCGCTTGCGCGTAGGGGGCTTTAGCAGTGGGAGGAAACCGGAGAACCCGGAGAAAACCCCGAGGTTGGACAGACGACCCTACTCCTTGTCACATACGCTTAGAAATGAGGCACCGGTCACAGACAGCATTAGACACAAATTCAGGCACAATTCCTCTGGTGTCTTTATCATTCTATCTGGCACAGATTTAAGTTTTAGCTGTGTTTTAAAGACTGATGCAGTGTCTGGTACTAGTTCAATAGTTATTTCAATGGCATTTAGTAATTAAACTGGTACAGGTCACAATTCTATGGAATACAATTACTGCTTATTACAAGCCTTCTCTAGTCATTATTAAAAGTCGCTCAGTAATAAGCAGTAATTGTATTCCATAGAATTTTGACCTATATAGTTCAAAAAGGGCAGGAGGGAAGCCTGGCCCCAAGTTCACAAAGTATTCTCAAAATTAACTAAGAATTTACTCAAAATTGTTTGCTCTTTATAAAACTTTTATTGTTTTAATGTATGAAATACATCACTACGAAACCACATGCAAAGTTTTGTGTTTCTGGATCAAAGATATTTCTTATAAAAAGTGACTGAAAGTTGAGCAAATTCTTAACTTAATTCTGAGAATTCTTTGTGAAACTGGGGCCTGATCTTTTAGGATTTTAAAGGAAGAGAAGTTGCTTGAGAATCTCTAGTATATCTAGAGTATATAAAGAGTAAGTTTATGTTACCTTGGTGTAGTAACAGGAGTTGTTTCATCCTCTGTATCACCTGTTAAAGTGGAGCTGTCATCATCTAGATCAGGAGCTGTATTATTGTGAGTATCTTGATTCTCTTTATCAGATTCTCCACATATCTAAAACACAATCAGCAATCACTTTATATTCCAAATTTCACCAATTATCTTTTAGTGATTGAAGAGTGAAATTCATATAATGATAAAATTGAAATGTTGCATGTTAATAAACCAGTAGTAGTAATTGTTAATCCATACATAATTTTATTCATAGTATAACACTACACATTTATATGGATAACGAAAATGAAATAAAATGGGGTTTAATGTCCTACTGTTTTGCTCCGACTGGGCTAATGAAGACGGACATAAGCCATGCAGTGTGCTATGAGGGAAATTTTGGCACTGTGGTCTACTTTTATATCGAATCCAACTGCCAAGCGATGTTTTCCGTGCATGCCAATGTATACATGGGACCTCGATTTTCCGTCCCATCCAAACAACTAGACAGCTGTCCTTGTCAGGCCCTCCATCCTGAACCACTGACAAGGGGAAACCACGTTGGAAAATCCCAATGAACTTCCTCGGGCAATGCAAGGATTGATCACCCGACGTCCAGACTAGCGAGACAGTGTCTTACCCACTTAGCCACTGTGGCTTCTAAACACTATGGATAACAAGTACTGGTTTATTTTACTAGCGACGTTTCGACGCAGGTACTCTCATCTTTATTTTATTCTAATGTGTTAATTTGTTTAATATAATGTTATAATGATATTATAATATAGGGGGAACTTTCAGCCACTGTTAATAAACATACTATCACCGTGTGCTTTAATTGCTAATCTGTATGCTTTGTACATAAGCACATGGCTGTGAGTGAATACACTATAGGAGAATCTTTTGAATGGAAAAATAATTAAGCACATGGATCATTAAAGGGGAAATGCTCAAATTTTTCAACAGAACTAAAACAAGAGTATTTCTGACAGATTAGTTAGTTGGTATGAACAATTTTTCAAATTTTGCTCATCGGACAATTTTAGTTGGGGTTAATGGGGGCCGGAATTTGGTCCCCAGATGTCATTTATCAGCTTCAGGAATAAGCTTCCATTCCCTTTGACAGACATCAACTACAAATATTCTTTATATTATATATAGCATAATGTGTTCTGAATAAAATATTCATACCACAACTATTTGTCAACTTACTAATCTTCTCTCTATGTGTTCTTCTGATGTTGGTCGTCTAGATCTTTGACGTGTTCGTTGTTTTGATTTACTGGCCGTTGCTGTACTGGCTTTCTGTGTACTAGATTTACGTTTTGTGCAAAGCTCTTCTAAGTGACGTTTCCGTTTCTCGTGTTCGGTCAATTCCCTTTTCTCTTCCTCTTTCTTCCGCTTTTGTCTCTCCGCTCTTTGTTTGGCAATAAACTTCCTCACCTCTTCTTGGTCATAATGTCGTTGTTTGGCAGATACAGCTTGTTGTTGTTTCTCAGGTTCTAAATACAAGAATTCCAAAATGGCGTTAAAAAAATAAAAAAATTGAGTATACATTATTAATCATTATTCATTTAGAATGATCTCAAGCCATTGTAACATCCTTCAAAGAAACTTGGGGTTTTGAGTGTCGTACAGTTTTTACTACTGTGTTGATTTTCATTTGATTGAGAGAGAGAGAGAGAGAGAGAGAGAGAGAGAGAGAGAGAGAGAGAGAGAGAGAGAGAGAAAGAGAGATGGGGTTTAACTTCCACTTGACACAAACTAGGTCATTATGGGACTAACCCATTGTTCAATTTTATTTCAATAATTCGCTTGCACGTAGGGTTCTTTAGCAGTGAGAGGAAACCGGAGGACCCGGAGAAAACCCATGAGGTTGGACATGCGATCCTACTCCTTGTCACATACAAACAGAGAATCGAAACCCTGCTAGTTGACTTAATGACAGACCTTATGATACAGAGCATACATGCTAACCATTTGGCCATCCTAGTCCCCACTTGATTGATGGAGGCATTCAAAATGTGAAATGAAATGAAATGTGGTTTAACGTTCTACTGTTCTGCTCCAAAATGGGCTAATGAAGACGGGCTTTCAAAATGTATAGCTACCTGTCTGTTTTGGAGCTTTTCTTTTCACTGCAGGTCTACTTCGAACATTTTTGGTGTTTTTATTATGTACATCGTCATCTGAGGTATCTCTATGTAAATCTTCTAACATTTTCTGGGTTTCTTGAGCTAACCCTACTTTTACTTTCTTCACTTCTAAACCAGTTGTACCCGTATTACTTGACCCCACTGGTTGCCAGAGGTCGTGACCTTCGGCCCCATCAGGTCTTCGCTGTTCTTCGGGTTGCACCACATCTTTTTTCTGAGTTTCACTTGAGGTTTTTCTGGTTCGCGAAGGACCTAATTTCTGTCGTATCAATTCTTGACCAGCACGCCATGATGATGTTGTTATTATATCTGTAAATATAATTATTCATTTTTTTTTACAACATAATCAAAATTATTCTTAATTTTAGAATTTACAATTACAACCTCTTTTGCAGTTCAAATTGGTTTCCATGCCTTTATTATTGGGGAAATGACATCTTTCTTTGACTTTTTAATAGAGCAGAATCCATTTTACAATTAAAATATACACAAACTGATTAAAAATACAGATCAATATTTCGTTTCGTTTTTTTATACTTTCGATGGCCTAAACTACATGAAGATCTGACATGTTGTAGCGATAGAGGTCGTGTCAGAGGTCATACGAGCGGCCTTTGACCCTATGATGTTAGACATTTAATTAACCAATCAGCATTGATGTTACTAGTGGATTACCCACAGTTCCGTGCAAAACACGCCTAAAGCTCGCCATAACAGACTGTTTCATTAGCTAATTCCTCACACCATTCAGAACAAGTCAATGATAACAACTCTTCCAGATCCTAGTGTTGTAAAGACAAGTAAAACAAAATTTTGAACTATAAAAACGAAACGAAACGAAATATGATCTGTGTTTTAATCAAGATTGAAAATATACATTGCATACTGTTACTGATGAAAAAGCCGTGGAAACTTTACTTGGTAATAATGTTGTTGTTGTTAAAGATGTTTGTTGTCATATATTTAGTAACTTATCTACCATCTATCGGTTTCACTAGTTTCAGGTGTTCTAAAAACAAAATGCATAACCTGTCCCAAGAACGACCTCTACTAATCGTGTAGTAATAAACAGATGAAATAGGGTTTAACGTCCTACTGTTCTGCCATACAGTGTGCTATGAGCAAAATTTTGCCTGCAGTGGTGCTACGGCCTACTCTTATATTAAATTACGACTGCCAGAGGATCTTTAATCTGCACGCCAATGTATACACGGGACCTCGGTTTTAGTAATAAACAATCAAAACAATAAAACATACCATTTGAAGCATGAGTGTTCTTGCGATCATGGGCGACAACTCTGGTAGGTTTTTTAGGTTTTTCTGATGACGATAAACCGGAGTCACCACCACTTGGATAATCTAAGCAAAAGAAAACAATCAAAATAATCATGCATATAAATACAGAGAGAGAGAGAGAGAGAGAGAGAGAGAGAGAGAGAGAGAGGCGACCCTACTCCTTGTCACATACAACCAGTGAATCGAAACCAGGCCAGTTGACTCAATGACTGACCTCATGATACAGCACACATGTGCTAACCATTCGGCCATCCAAACCCCCCCATATAAATATAAGATGTGCATATAGGAAGACTATCTTACAATTCCATCGAACAAAACAGAATGTGAGAGAAAGAGAGAGAAATGGCGTATAAGTCCACTCGACACAAACTAGGTCATTTTGGGACTAAATTTGTAATGACTTATCTAAGACCATATGTTGAATAAATGATCAGTTTCTGGATAAAATAAAATAAAATTAAAATGAATGAATGAAATGGGGTTTAAATTCTTACTGTTTTGCACCAACTTGGCTAATGAAGGAGGGCATACACCCTTTTTAGAGTGTTTTGAGAGAAGTTTTGCTCGGACAGTGGTGTTTCATCAAATTATAAGTGTAATGGATTCTTTTAAATGAACAAAAACAAGTCTACCTAAATTTTTTGTCCTATCTGAACAACTAGACACTTTTTGCTTGCCAGGCTGATAGTCCTTCACCACTGACAATAGTGTTAATTAGAGTGTTTTGAGAGAAGTTTTGCTCGGACAGTGGTGTTTCATCAAATTATAAGTGTAATGGATTCTTTTACATGAACAAAAACAAGTCTACCTCAATTTTCAGTCCTATCTGCACAACTAGACACTTTTTGCTTGCCAGACCCACAGTCCTTCACCACTGACAACAATGTTAATTAATGTACCCTTTACTTACCATACATTTCATATTTACGAGGCTGTATGTTGACTGCTGGTTTCTTCACCTTTTTCTTGACTATAACGGACTGAGATACAGGACGGGGTGGGTTGTTATCTGTTGTTATATCACTAAAACCTGCAACATCAAATAATATCAAGCTAAAATAACCTTTTATATATCATTGACTTCAAACAATATCAGGCTGAAATTACCTTTTACATCATTGACTTCCCAATGTTTTTATTATCAGACATCTTAAAGAAGCATTATGCCAGTATTGTAAATGTCTTTTTTCTAACTTCAAATGTTATATAAATTATTATTATAAACATTTATTCACATGAAAAGTTAATAATTAAATCTCTAGGCAATCAAATGGCTTAGGATATTGAGAGAGAGAAATGAGGTTTATCGTCCACTTGACACAAACCAGGTCATTTTTGTACTAATATGGTTCAATTCTATTTCAATCATTTGTTTGAGCGTAGTGGTCTTTAGCAGTGTAAGGAAACCGGAGGACCCAGAGAAAACCCATGAGGTTGGACAGACGAGTGAGACGACCTACTCCTTGACATGTAAAACCTGTTAATCGAAACCACGCCAGTTGAGTCAATGATAGACCTTATGATACAGCACACATGCGCTAACCATTTGGCCATCCAACCCGACTCTTAAGATATTGAGTGGAACAATGCCTGCCATTAATCAGAGACTTGGATTGGATTGCTTTAAAATCAAGACTTTGCAATAGACACTTGAAACAATTTAGGCTATTTATTGTTAAAACTTCAACCATTCATAACTTCACACAGAATAATTTAGTTGACTGAAATTTTCAATATATCAATTTTTAATACATGTATCTATTATATCACGAACGACCAGCTCTATAATAAACTCTTACATAATGCATTTTTAAATCTTTGACAGTATTGTGATTGTATGACTTATAACTGAAAACATATCTGAATATGCACTTCAGCAAGAATAAGCTCTCTTTATCTTAACAATGCACATTTCCCTACTTATAAAGTACCTGGAAATTGAAATCATATCCTAAACTACACACTTCATATTTTAGAAATATTCATAAGGTTATCAACCTTCATTCAAAGTAGAAATTAACATGGTGGCATAATTTGTAACTTACTGCATAACATACTTAATTTTAATCCCAAGGATTTAAATTAAATACAGATCTTACTATTCGAATATTCAAATTCATTATTCAAAATTAAATATTCCCTTTAATTAAAAATATCAAAGAGAATTTTCAATAACGTGATTCATAAAAATCTCATAAAAAGCGAAATCGATCAGTGTATCATAGAAGACAAAAAACATATCAAATTCTATTAGTTCAAATCGACATTGAATACCAAATACTAAAATATCACCCAAATACTAAAAATACCATCCAAATACTAAAATACTATAAAAAAACAAATATTAAAGGATCAGTTCTAATAGCTTTACACACTTATTTCATACTAAAAAAAATTATAATGGATTACGACTTAAAGATACATTATGGGAGATTAGATAAAGAGCTCGCACTTCTCACTATAATAGTTAAAAACTAGATAATGGAAAGGGAATTTGCTGAAAGTTTCAGTCAAATTGATCAAATCTGAACCTGGAATTGAGTGATTGAATTTTGGGCCTAGCCTCAATCATCATTACTCAGGCCTAAAGAAAGACCTGCAATAGGCAGATTTAGCTCTTGCATAATGTATGTTTAATTAAGCCCTAGTTGTATAATACAGTAAATTTCTTAATACAAATTAAAGTACACATTATCATTTTATTTATTTAGAAGAATGTAGTAAATATACAGGTATACTATGAAATATACAGTTGACAATTCTATGGAATACAATTACCGCTATTACTGAGGGATGTTTAAACTAGGCTTCTCTAACGAGACAACGACTAGAGAAGCCTAGTTGAAACGTCGCTCAGTTATAATAAGCAGTAATTGTATTCCATAGAATTGTGACCTGTTTATTCCAGTTCAATTACTAAATACCATTGAAAGAATGTAATAAATAGTGTATGAATGTAAGTATATAGCGTAGGTATATAAAAGTACAGGTAAGTACATGTAGTATATAACGTAGGTGGATTATCAATCAAGTGTGATTTATACCTTGTTTGTATGTATACAAATATTCAATCATATTTCATGATAAAGGTTTCGAAACTTAAAATAAAAAGGTGGGTCACGACTCTATTTAAACACAAACAAGTCTTTCATAAATAACTATGTAACAATATTTAAGTACGGATATGTCATTCGTGTGTTTTGATGTTAAAGAATTATTAAATGTTGCCTAGATACAGCACAGTTTGATTATATAGAAGGCTTAAAAGGCAAATGCACTAAAATGGAGATTAACATTAATAAGAGTAATGAAGAAATGATATTTAACGTCCTACAGTTGTACTCCGACTGGACTAATGAAGACGGGCGTACGCCATACAGTGAGCTATGAGGGAATTTTTGCCCGGACAGCGGCGCTACGCGGGAAAATCCTGATGAACTTTCTCAGCCAATGCAGGGATCAAACACGCGATAAAGAGCATACGTAGTGCAGTGTGCTATGAGGGACATTTTTCCCAGACAATAACCCTACAGCCTATTCTGATTTTGAATTTCAATTATCAAGGGTTTAGTGCATTATTTCTTTCCAACCAAAAGAACAATCTCAGCACTGGAACTTTATCTCAAAATACAACAATAAAAGGAGCATGCCCTTACACATGTTTTGTTTGCGTATGTACATGTACATTGTACATTTTATAAAGGTGTACAGCAAATAGCACATGTACCAGGCATCCTAATATTGCTATTTGGATCGAGTGGGCGCCCCATTAAGGTATAGAAAGATGTGTGTACAAATATTCATAAAGATATCTTCGGTGGTTCCTGGAAACCCAGGAGTCACGGTGGTTAAGTGGGTAAGACGCTGGCTCGCTAGCCTGGAGGTCGGGTGGCCGAGAAAGTTAATCCAGATTTTCCGTCATGGTTCCCCCTTGTCAGTGATGCAGGACGGAGGGCCTAACAAGGACAACTGTCTAGTTGTTCGCATGGGACAATAAAAAGAGGTCCTGTGTACACATTGGCATACTTGTAAAAGATCACTTGACAGTTGGAATTAGATATAAGTGTAGGCCGTAGTGCAGCTGTCCGGGCAAAATTTCCCTCATAGCACACTGTATGGCATATGTCCGTCTTCATTAGTCCAGATCGGAGCAGAACAGTAGGACGTTAAACCCCATTTCATTCCTGGGTGGGCGTACAGAATACTTTTTCATACTTCTCCTCTTATTAAAACAGTATTTTAAAGATACATTATGTAAGATTTAGATAGAGAACTAGCCATTCTTGCTATAATAGTTCAAAAGTAGATGATGTAAAATGAATAATTTGCAAATTTCATTCAAATTATTCTATTGCAAGCGAAGATATTAGCCTTTGAAGGTTTGACAGACGTGTGCAATAATTTCTACCACCATACTGGTTGATCGAAGCCAAGACTAGGTCCTCCATATTTGATTAAATCAAAGTATCGCTGAACCATTCTAATCTATTTAATATCGGAGAAATCTGATACCATCAAGAGTTGATTAAGGCCTGGATCAGTCAATTAATGTCTAATTAATACTTTAGATAACATTTCAGGCCTAAAGTAGGACCTGCAATAGGCAGATTTAGCTCTTGCATAATGCATGTTTAAGTTTAAGATAATGTTTCTATGTTTTACTACAGCAAGTTAATATGTATTCTAATTTTCATGTTTTTCATCATGAAGTATATTAATATTGACATAAGGTCAAGGTTAAAGACCTCCACCCATTCACCACTTTAACTAGATCTATATCAACTGATTGGATCGTGGTATTTTTATTAATATCTTAGATTTTAATCCTAGTGTTATAACTACAATGTAATGTATACTGTACATGTACATCTATCCTTATTATTTTTTATTAATATCTTTTAATAGTATAACCCATAAGAATTTCTTAGATTTTAATCTTAGTGTTATAACTACAATGTAATCCTGATTATTTTTTAAATTAATAATGGAACATAAAAAACCCCAATAAAACCAAAGGCAGCTACACGTAATGTCTGAGCTCGGATTCAATAAGATTGAAAAGAAGCCCATCAAAAGATTTTACCTAAATATTATAATGTTGGTGAAGTGTCAAAAGGGTGTATTTCGGGAAATTAGTCAAATACACTTTTTTTTCATTTTTAAAATCTCCCAATTAATATGCACATTTCTGTCTAAGCTGTGTATCTCTATGCCAATTAGAACTGTTCTGGGTATCATATGTCCAAATGTTGTATCTTGATTTATGGAAATTTTGAAATGCAAAAGGTTCTATTTCTTAATCTTTAGAAATTGTTAGATACATCCTTTTGACACTTCACCGACGAAACAGTTTTGAAATTTTCAATTCATCACCTCTTTATAAATACAGATAGAAATGAAACATGATCTTCTTTTTAAATATTTACCTTCCTCAATATTCAATACTTTAAAGGACAATTTTGGTGTCAGCCATTATCACATACATGTATGTGATAGAACTGGTTAAACATATTCCAAACATAATTTTAACACAGAGATCATTGCTACAACAGATGCATAAAGAAGATTTAAAGAAAAATGGAAAGTGACGCAAAATTTAAAACACAAGTATATGTAACTGACTGAAGGAACAAGCGATCATCAGATACAAGGTCGAATTTCAGCTCACTACTTCCTTTGAAGACGAAAAGTTGTTATATTGTTATGGTTTTGGGAATTTTCAGATATCCTCTCACAGTCTAATATAACAATTTTTCGTCTTCAACACATAAGTTAGCTGAAATTCGATTGTGTATCTGTTATCGCTTGTTCCTTTAGAAATTTTTTGCACCACTTCCTGTTTCTTCAAATCCTTGTTACGCATCTTTGTGTTAAAATTATATTTGGAATTTGTTTAATCAGTTCTTTCACATATGTGATAACAGCTGACAGCAACATTGTCCTTTAAATGGTGATACTGACACCAATATTGTCCTTTAAATGGTGATATGTGATTTTAAAATGAGTGAAAGAAGAACTTACCTTTATAACTAGGCATGGATGCAACAGGTGCTATTTTCCTTGTTATTGCAGGTTTTTCCATACCATCACAGTGTGCTCCTGGTCTCATACTTACAGGGTCATAGGGATCGTGTATAACATGATGGGGTTCATGTTCTACCCCACCCCTCCCATGATCTAATAATAGACTATCATCTCTACTGCTCGTATCTACAAAAAATTATCGTGAATTATTTATAAACTAATCTTCACTCATAACGGGTACGTTAGTACAATATGGACAATATGAACATGGTACATAACATGACATCATTGCTGCCATCATGCAATTGTGGCGACATATCAAAAATCGAAGTCTGCCAATTAAAGATACATTATGCAAGAGCTAAATCTGCCAATTGAAGGTCTCTCTTTAGGACTTAAATGTTATGTAAATTATTAATTAGACATTAATGAACTTATCCAGATCATAATAAACTCTCGATTTCATCCCTAGCCTGCGATGTTTACTGGATTAGAATCCCCTATGCTGCTCCACTTTCATTCATGATTTAATTCAAGACTAGATGTTTTTTATGGTACCGACTTTAGTAATGATGATCAGGGCTAGGCCTAAAATCCAATCGCTAAAATCTTGGTTTAGAGTGGATCAATCTGATTGAAATTTTCAGAAAATTCCCTTTACATTGTATCTAGTTTTTAAATAGTGAGAACTGCCAGCTCTTTATCTAATCTCCCATAATGTATTTTTAATGCACAATTGTCCAAGGAACATGCATGCTAAGTTTCATGTTGATCATACTTGAATTGGTGGAGCCTTCAGCTTTTTCTAATAGATTTCAGAAACTATATTCTTAGATACGTACCTGAAGATGAAGCATTTAATTGTTGTTGTCTAATCTTCTCTTTTAACTTGGACAAAATATCTGAAAATAGTTTATTATAATTCTATACTAGTAAACACTGGGCTATATTCTTTGGTATATATTATATACCAATATCTCTTTAAAAAGTGAATACTCTTCAAATGTAAAAAGATCATTTTATGCTACCTGCTCACTGGTTTAAAGGCAACTCAGTATTTTACCATTGGCGACTCAGTATTTTACCATCGGCAACTCAGAATTTTACAATCGGCAACTCAGTATTTTACCATCGGCAACTGATTTTATAATCAACTACTCAGGATTTTACCATCAGCAACTCATTATTTCACCATTGCCAAAAAACTCAGAATTTTACCATTGCTAACTCAGAATTTCAAGTTAAAATTGATTTTCAGGAATTTCAGTTTTGTTCTCACAAATAAGTAGCCTACATTTTATTTGTTCTAGTAATCATGACCAAACCATTAATCACAGCATTATTGTAAGGGTAGGAATGTGTTCTACCTATATAATAATGTTAAATACATTTATTCAGTCAATAACCGTGATAATACATTTACAAGTGGCTGCCAGGCAGGATATGCCCACATTTTTGTAAGTGTAGGAATGTGTTCCATCTATATGATAATGTTAAATACATTTATTAAGTCAATAACCATGATAATACACGATGATAAAACATATTAACATGTGGACACTCTACACATGTATTTTTCTTTATATCTGATCAATAATCTCTTGAATAAAAGATGATTTCAGATCAATCAAATCATTATTATTATTATCAACTATTAATCATTTATCAGCAAATTATCAATAATTGTCCATTATCACATCACATAAATACCTACAAGAACTTGTTGAACACACCCACTTTTATTTGAAATTTCTTTTGAAAAATCTATTAAATACATATATATGTATGTAGCATATATTTAAGAAAGTTATGAATACGTTTTATAAACTCTCAGTATATTACATAATATTTTAATCAAAAACTTTCTTTTTTTAATCTAAATGCTAAAGGGAGTTTGAGATCATAATTTTAAATCTAATTTGAATAGCTTTTACAAAATTTTTTAATAATTTTAATAGTTTAATCTATGGTGCTGCTCAAAGTCATGATACCAAATGTTGGATATAAAAAAAATTTTTTTTAAAGAGGACCTTAGACTTTCTACATGTACAAATCCAGTTTTTCTTAAACATTTGTTGATATGATTAGAGAAATTTTGTCAACTGTACAGTACCTATTACTACTGCACGTACTTTTCTCCTGAAACTTCTGTTCCTTGCCATTTTGTAGCTCAGTATGTAAACCAGTTGAATTACATGAACCTAGTACAAAATGGTTTTTGATCTGACCATCACAGCATTCACATATAAATTATAAACTATATCCAATTTTGTCATTGATATCCATTCCCTCAATATTTGTCAGCTGATTCATCATATTTTTTACATTTCCATATTCTTAACATAACATTTTTTTTTTTCAAAACGACCACCTTCATGGGATAGACAAGACACACTACTACATGTACATATATCAATTCTGATTTTGAAAGATCTTTTTTTACTCTATACTTTTAAAGAACTACCAGCCAATCAAACCATAGATCAAAAAATCATTAGTCTGTAGATCTAACATCAAATAAAACCATTCTGCAAATAATTTAAGACCCCTGAAGTAGGATAACGATAAAAATCTGAATCAAAAACATATCAGAACTTCGAGTATGCATAACTGTTTATTTATATAAAAAATCAAAAAATCAAAGCGTAGTAACTTAGGTATACAATAGGATTAATACAATTAAGTATTACCTATTTAAAAAGACTAGTTTAATCTCCAAGATCAAACAGCAGGCCAGTAAATGGGTGTATCACATCACAACAGGGGGATTAAGACAGTAGATACCAGAGTACTTGAAATAAATCCACAAGAAGGAACCTACGCTCATTAATATCAACTTAGCAATCTGTCTGATCTTGTTTTTATAAAAGTTTTAAAGTTTGGGGATTAGAAGATCTGCTACGGTACTTAGTTTTCCAGTTTTCTGTAGGAATTAAATGTTAAATTACTATTCCTTTGGTAACTTTTCTTGTCTCAGTCAAGTGTCTCACAGGGTTATCAAACTAGTAGTAATCTTTTTTTTAAAGACTGGTTGTAATTGCGTTGTGTTTTTCACAATTAAATTATTTTACATGTAAGTTGATTTAAAGTGCTTGCATATTTTACTTTTGTATTTTCCAAAAAAATATTCAAATGCTATTTGATCAGTTGAAATATACATTTTAGAGCAATTTTTGGTTCATTTAAATCAGATTAATCTACATGTATATGTATCAAATCAATTTCTTTGGATATTGGAAGATTTAAATAAGTTAACGTTAGTAAATAATTCAGACAAATAACAGATCATTAGTTTTGACATTGAATAACAAACCTTAAGAAAAAGTGTTTAAATTAATAGTCTTGACATACTATTTGAGTTTGAGTAGTTGTGTGAGATCAACTAAATTTTTACGTACATGTACATTATGTATCTGTACATGTACAATGTATGAACATCTTGGAATATATGAATTCTTTTTGAAAAAAAAAGTAACGTCTTTAACATCTTAGACATTGAAAAAATTTGAAATTTATATATGTAATACAATTATTGACACAGTGTAGTACATGTCTGTGCTACCTCTAAAATCAATGTCAACTAAATTTACGCAATGTTTAAAATCTCCAATTAAGTTTTAAAAATTTTCACAGAGTAATTTTTTGTAAATGGACAGATATAAACTGCTTAAAGGCAGTAATATGGGTAAAAAAATGATTTTTCAACAAAATGCAATTTGCAATTTTCTGTCAACTACTAGTAAATATTTAAAATTTCCAATTAAGTTTTAAAAATTTTCACAAAGTAATTTTTGTAAACCATAAACTCTTCAAAGGCAATAATATGGGTAAAAAAATAAATGTTTTCAACAAAATGTAATTTGCAATTTACTGTAGATAAAGGTAGAGGTTGGTGAAAAATATTTGTTTGAGAGAAAATCTGGTGAATTAAAAAAAAGGTGAATGGAAACACTTTAACCCAGGTATCATTTAATCTTGTGTATCTAGCACTAATTTCTTTCACATTCGTTTAATATCAAATCTTTGTTTAAAAATGAATAAAAATCGTTTAAAGCCATCTAATTTGTACTTGCGTGTTCAATTTACAAGTACATGTATTTAATTTCCTGACCATTGTTCAAAATTTAATCATTATACATCAATAATCAATTGGGTTGTTAATTTCTGAACTGTAATCGAGAAATTAAACGCTTGTAAATTAGATACTCATTATCAAAATTGAATGGTAAGCTTTAAACTGGACACAAGTACAAATTAGGTGATTATAAATGATTTTTATGTATTTTAAATGACCCAATTGATATTGAATGAATGTGAATGAAATAAGTGATAAATACACAAGATTAAATGATACCCGCGTTACAGTGACAGATAATGGTTCAAAACATATTCAAAGACACTATCGACGTAAAAAATGATTTTTCAACAAAATGCAATCTACTGTAAAGGTTGGTTAAAGGGACAGTAACACTCTTGCTGGCTTGAAAGCTCCAGAAAATAAATAATATCTCTATCTAAGTACTAGATGTTTAAGTGTCCTACCTGTAGTGTAAATTATCCATTACATCCTATTTTACTTGTCCAGAGGGTTCGAAAATATTTTTAAATCGAAGTTTCATTTGAAAAGGTTTACGTTAGACGATTCAAACCATTATGTTGAATTTTTCAAAATTTTTAAATAAGGTATGTTAAGATGAAATTTGTATCATCAATTAATTGGAATATTGTAAAATAGTACAATTTGTTCACCAGAATAAAGATTGGGACATATTATTCAGTTACAACAAGAGTGGTATTGAGCCTTTAAAAATACAAGTGTGAGAGAAATACCGGTGAATGAAGGCGGAGTTATATTAATACTAATTCTTACCATTATCTTCAGGCAGATCTATTAATCCTCTTTTTTTCCGCCGGACACGACTATTTGTAGAATCGGTTCCGGCAGACGCTCCACCAGAATCTAAAGGTAAATCCATTTGATTAGAATACTTGTTGCCGGGCAGTTGTACATTACGATGATGCTGACCAGGAAACGGTACATCCACATACGTTAACTTTGGTCCGCCATTTTTAGCAGTGTTTGATTGTGTTGTAATTGGCACATGTGTGTTTAAAAAACGAACTTCTGTTTCACGAAGTGCACGACTATCTGTTAAATTAGCCACAGAATTCTGGGATGGATTTTGCACTACACTATCCAAATAAGATCCTTCTGCATTCACTTCGCGTAACCGCTGACGATTAGAAAACTCGATTTTATTAATTTGTTCATCTCTCCTGTCCTGTTCTGGTAATTTAAACAGTAAGTCCAGATCACCATTTGTTTGATACGGTTTTTTACTTATTGCCCTTGTGTTGTCACCTGCATTTTCGATTCCATAACCTCGATCTACATTCCTTGTTTTAGATTTAGCATTTACTCCCTCATCATATCTATCATCTAAAATATAAAAATAAAAAAAAAACATTAACATCAACCAGTGAGTGATCTCTCGTTAAAATATAATCTAATTCAGTTAAAGTCCTAAAGGTTCCCCCACTTTATTGTTTACTCTAACTCAGCTACTTCAATGATTAACATCATTCAGATACAATATCATATGTTAAAATATTATCTAATTCAGCTAAATTCAAGGGTTAACATCAATCAGATACAATATCGCATGTTAAAATATAATCTAATTCAGCTACTTCAATGATTAACATCAATCAGATATATTTATCACACGTTAAAATATAATTTAATTCACCAACTAAAACAAGAATACTTTATTCTTTGAGTTGTTTTGTCAATCTAGGTATCCTGTAGTAATAATCTAATTAATAATCACGTTATCTTGGAGCTGTTTTGTCAATATATTTCTTGACGTCATAACTAATCTAGAAATTGAGCTAAGAATGTGTTTAAAATCACAGTTTCTTGAGATATGACTCTACATCATACCTTCTAACTATATTCCTTCACGACATACAAGCTTATTGAACCAAAAGAACAATCTCTAGGGTTCCTATTTCTTTGAAATGTCATCACACCCCTCGCACGATCAGGGCATCATTTTCAGTGTCAAGTTACGATTATTTAATCGAATGCTTTGACAACCAATCAATATCAGTTAAAACACAAAACTTATGAACTGATAAGTATTGAGAGTAGATATAGCAAACAAAACATGTATAAATGTAGAAAAAATAAAAAGTAACGATTTCCTAGTGCCATCTGACAAGAAACAATGACTTTAACAATTTATATAGGATGTGTCACTGAGATGACGATGTATAATTCATTATTATTTTTATCTAATTTTCGTAATTCACTTGATCTATTTTTCTCGAATAGTCTTACTTCAGTACATGTATTGATAATGAAACTGACAATTAATGATTAATAAAATATAAATAAAGATGAACTGAACACATCATCAAACAATGTGATAACAGATTATTTTAATCCACTGAACTATGTCGATAATTTACACTATACCATTATAACATAATCTTTAACTCTAATGGACCAATTAACACTTAACACTTGCCACCTCAATTCTATGTACAAATTAGAGCGTTATTATAACTCATAATATTACATGTATCCGATATTAAATGTTTAGCATACAATCACATCATCAAAATAATTATTAAATGTTTTAGCATACATTCACATCAAAATAAATATGTTTTAGCATACAATCACATCATCAAAATATATTAAATCTTTTAGCATGCAATCACATCAAAATAAATATTTTTAGCATACAAATCGTCAAAATGATATTAAATTTTTTAATCACATCATCAATATATATGTTAAATGTTTTAGCATACAGTACAATCACATCACCAAAATAAATATATTTTAGCATTTAATCACATCATCAAAATGTTATTAAATGTTTTAGCATACAATCACAAAATAAATATTTAGAATACAATCATATCACATTTGGGCCACACATTTCAAGAAAACCTTTATCTGTACTGATAATTTTTTGGGCAAAAACTCAGTTTCAATTAATAAAATAAAAGTATAGTAGTTAAGCCACTTAAATGATACAATGTCATTGGGGGGGGGGGGGAACAAGTTCTAAAACTCTGTGAATTATATACAACTAAGATCATAAACTTGGTTGACGTAATGTGATATCTACATTATCTAGTGATGAAGCATGCTCTCTATACCATTGTAGTTTTGTTTCGAAAGCTTAAAGATACATTATGGGAGATTAGATAAAGAGCTGGCAGTTCTCACTATAATATTAATAGTTAAAAACTAGATACTATAAAGGAAATTTGCTGAAAATTTCAGTCAAATTGATCCACTATGAACCAAGATTTTACTGATTGAATTTTCAGCCAAGCCTCGATCATCATCGACATTACTGAAGTTGGTAGGATAAAAAAAACATAGTCTCGATTATCTATTTCATGATTTAATTATGAATGGAAGTTAAACAGCAAATCGGAACTTAATCCAATAAATCGACAAATTTATTGTTGCCACAAATGAAAGATCTCCAGCTATTAAAGCCATACATCAAAATCTAACCAGAAACCAAATCCTATTAGTTGTGGAGAGGAAATGAGTTATCCAGATAGATGATGACTGCCGAAGCGTAGTCCTGTCTGGAAAGGAAATTGCATTATTCTATTAGTAACCCTAAACAATCTCAAATTTCCGAACTGATGAATCGATTCACCTCTTAAACATCGAAATAATTTAATCCAATTAATGTATTCTTGATGTCTTCACAATATTCCTGATCGAATTATAACCACCACCACAAAAACAGATTCACCTCTGACCAAAATGATCATGAAAACTGAATGAGAAAGTTTCTTTTTCTTGAAAATATTATCATAACAATAGGTTAAATGACAATATGATTATAATAAATGTACCTGTATATCGTTAGAAATATCATAAATTACACCTATATTGTGTTTCAATAAATCTATTAAATGACAATATGATTATAGTAAATTTACCTGTATATCGTTACAAATATCATACATTACACCTATATTGTGTTTCAATAAATCTATTAAATAACCAGATAAGCCAAATAACCCAGCTTAGTAAAGCACAGTAGTAATAAATAACCCACAATATTGGCGTTTATCCAATTAATAGATTATCATTTGCAGTATAGGTATTTTAACACAGTGGTTTCTCAAATACTACAAAGTAGAAAGATTATAAAACTACAGAAAATTGAACAGCTTTAAAGATACATTATGCAAGATAGAGATAGAGCTGGCAAAACAGATAATGAAAAATGAATATATTGAAAGAAGCAGTTCAATTACTTTATTTTGAACCAAATTATGAATGTTTGAAATTTTGACAAGAAATAGCTTATTGTCACGATAATGACCAAAGTCTTAAATTTCATTCCTTCAATTGTCCTCTATGTGAGTGGCATCCACATTAGCAGTTAACAAAGATATGGCGGGCATGACCTAATCCACACAATATCTAAGCCATTTGATGGTCTAGTGTTGATTATATTGGCTTGTAATGTGAATAAATATCTAAATAATTTATATAAAATTTGAAGCCAGAAAATAATGCTTCAATCAGCAGATTTAGCTCTTGCATAAGGCCTGCTTAAATTAACCTTAAATATTTAACAACATACATGTAGTTTGAAGTCAATAAACTAACAAGTGCATAAAAGCCTATTCTTAAATGAATGAACACATATACAATATACTTAAGTCATTAAGACACTACTGGCCACATCCAACATTACTTCATATTTTTCAAATGTCTTTAATCCCTACGTTGTATTGATTTCCAGATTTGGTCTATATCTCAATCTTACTGGTTTCAAAAATACATTATATAATTTCCTAACATTTACAAGTCCAAAACACATTCAGAATTTTCCTAATTAGTAATTTTACATATAGATAAGAAATGATATGGCCAACACCACAGAGGTGAGGACTATACATGAACAGCTGCAGGTTTCTTTCATACAGACTGAAGATCATCAAAAAACACATATGTTGATTTTACTTTACATGTATTTTCATTGTCTATCAAAATTTTGGATAAACAGCTAACTATCAAGTTTGATCAATTGAATTAAAATGTGGGATAGAAATATAAAGATTCAATGGTGGATATATAAAAGAAATGAAATGGGGTTTAACGAACTACTGTTCTGCTCCGAAAGGGCTAATGAAGACAGGTGTACGCCATGCAGCATGTTATGAGGGAAATTTTGCCCAGACAGTGGCGCTACAGCCTAATCTTATACTGAATTTCAATTTTCAAGGCTTCTTTTACGTGCATACCAATGTGCTCACAGGACCTTGGTTCTTTGTCCCATCTAACGACAATGGAGAATCATGCCGACAGATATATAAATGAAGCTCGAATCAAAATGCAGGATAGAAGGATTCAATTCAAAATGAATCAAAATGAGTAAAAGAGAGAAAGAGAGAGAGAGAGAGAAATGGGGTTTAACGTGCACTCAACATAAACTAGGTCATTTTGGGACTAACATATGGTTTAATTTTATTTCAATAATTTGCTTGCGCGTAGGGGTCTTTAGCAGTGAGAGGAAACCGGAGGACCCGGAGAAAACCCACGAGGTTGGACACCAAAATGAGTAAAGTTAACTTGAATCTAAATAAGGGATATAGAAGTATACTAAAGATTAAATGAAGTATGAAGTTGGGTTTTAATGGAAGACTGGTAGCACATAGATCCAATGAACCAAAATCTTAAAATAAGAATTGTGTCAATCAGCTACATGAAGTAATATAAAGGTACCTTAATAAAGGATAATCCAGATAAACCCAGGTACAATATTCATGATTAACCACACAGTTTATAATCTATCTAAGCCATTAATCCTAATTACTTAATACATTCTACTAGTCTAAAAAAAAAGAACTCATTGTGAACACTTCAGGCTTCATATACCTCGATACAATCCATGCCAGTCGCATCATCTTAACATTCATGACACATTACCATTCTTCTTGCACTTTCATGACAGATTACCATTCTACTTGCACTTCCATGACACATTACCATTCTACTTGCACTTTCATGACACATTACCATTCTACTTGCACTTTCATGATACATTACCATTCTACTTGCACTTTCATGACACATTACCATTCTACTTCCACTTTCATGACACATTACCATTCTACTTGCACTTTCATGACACATTACCATTCTACTTACACTTTCATGACATATTACCATTCGACTTAAAACTTTTATGACACATTACCATTCCACTTAAACTTTCATGACACATTACCATTCTACTGAAACCTTCATGACACATGACCACTTTACTTACACTTTCATGTTATATCTTTCCTCAATTAACATCCTACTGTCGTTAATCCTACTGCAATGGTTCAACTTTGAATCAGTATATTCATGAATGCACAGTTATGGCTGTATGTCATCAATGTCACTCTATTTACAGATTGTTTCCTCTATTGTTTGTGTCATGGTGCCTTGCACTAGATGATGCATGGCCTTCAATAGCATGGCGTTTGCAACCAGAATTGATCTTTCAAGACTTCTATGAAAATCAACACAACATAATATTCCGAACTTGATCTTTCAAGACTTCTATGAAAATCAACACAACATAATATTCCGAACTTTTTCAACACTCTTCTTTGATTGGCATTTAGTAATTGATCATATTAGCACAAGGTACAATTTTATGGATACACATTACGTTTCAATGAAGATACTTTCGTCTTTAGCAACACTACTTAATTATAAGGTTATACATGCACATTTACCTTATTATATTTTTTTTTTCAAATCTTAAATCAACTTTATCAAATATGTACATTGCTCATTTCATTACATTAAAAAATTTGGATCTAGAATGTTCTTGTCTTTCATCTTTTCTGCATTCTCTTTTGTGTTACATGTACCTTTTACTTCAGCTTACGGTTCAAGTTCTATAAATACTTACATGTATATTCTAAAATTATTTATATTCCCATTCATTACATCAAATACTGTAATAACCAATAAGTCACACTGTTAGAAGTTAATACCGCAATGTGCTCTACTTAAATTATGCAGAAAATACAAGGGCCTACTATGGCTATTCCAATAAATCAAAACTACATATATTCATGAATAAACCTTCAATCAATCCATTCATTATTATTCAGCTATAATTCTATTAGTACTGTATATATTTCTATATTAATATAACTCTTCAAATATACAAGAGGTACAATATAACTCAATAGATCACAGTAGCCTCTTTTTTATATATCCACAATAACCCAGCCTTTATATTCCCCACCTACATGAGCACGTATATATTAAAGAAAAGACTAGAGCCATTTAATATTCCTTGAAATGAGTGGTTTAAATAGTTCCATTAGAATCAGTAGTGTTTGTTAAGTATGTGCATAGTGTGTTTTATTACAGCAATAAAATACCATATTAGAATAGAACGAACATTAATTCTATTTACTCAGTTTTGCGATAAAATAAACAAAACAATATATGGAGGCCATAAATCGTGTATAATTAGACCAAAAGTCAAGTAAGATAGATTGGAAAATAAAAGTAGATAAACAAAGGCGGTTTATTAATTTGTAGATCCCTTTACAGGTTTAACAGTTCTTCCTCAAGGCCATTTAATATCGTAACCATTTATATCACAGTTGTCTAATTGGACTGTTGAAACCATGGCTATTTACTATCGCAACCATTTATAACATAATCGTCTAATTGGACTGTTCAAACTTCAAACCAAGGCTGTTTACTATCACAACTATTTATATCATAATTGTTTAATTGGACTGCTCAAATAAATAAAACTTTATATGATCAGCTTACACTTCATCTAGAATAATCTTTGCCTCTAAGCAGGTCTTGTAAGTGTTAATATTAACAGGCCCCCAAGTTTAAAAAGCATTCTCAGACTTCAGTTAAGAATTTACTCAAAATTGTTTGCTTTATTTCAACTAAAATATAGCTTTTTATAAAACTTTTGTTGTTTTAATGTATCAAATACATCAATAAGAAACTATTTGCAAAGTTTTGTGTTTCTGGATCAAAGATATTTCTCATAAACAGTGATTGAAATTTGAGTAAATTTTTAACAAGTCTGAATACTTTGTGAAATCGGGGCCGGACAAATATAGTCCATGCAGAGGTGTAGAGCTAGAGTTTGCCCCACTAACAAAATAGAAAGACAACAGTGCGGGTATACCGCAGCACTTTCAATTCATGGAAAAGAGAGAGAGAGAGAGAGAGAGAGAGAAATGGGGTTCAAGGTCCACTCGACAAAAAACAGGTCATTTCGGGACTAAAACATGGTTCAATTTTATTTCAATAATTCGCTTGACTTACGGGTCTTTAGCAGTGGGGGGAAAACGGGAGGACCCGGAGAGACCCCACGAGGTTGGACAGACGACCCTACTCCTTGTCACGTACAATCAGTGAATCAAAACCACAGCAGTTGACACAATGACAGACCTGATGATACAGTGTGCACGAGCTAACCATTCGACCCTCCACCGCCCCCCCTTCCCCCCTTAACATGAAAGAGATAACATGATGGACTTCTACTCACCTAAACGAAACACCTTCCTTCTAGATGCATTGGATCGTGATTTACCACTTACTTCATTATTAAACTGAAAGAGAGAGAGAGAAATGGGGTTTTAACTTCCACTCAACACAAACCAGGTCATTACAGGACTAACATATGGTTCAATTTTATTTCAATAATTCGCTTGCACTTAGGGGTCTTTTAGCAGTGGAGGAAACCATAGGACCCAGAGAAAACCCATGAGGTTGGACAGGCGAACTTACTCCTTGTCACATACAACCGGGGTATTATACTGAAAGAAAAAACAACAAATTCTAGTTTAATAAATTAAACAGACAACACTGCTCACAAGAGAGAGAGAGAGAGAGAGATTTTAACTTCCACTCATACAACCTAGGTTGTATGAGCCATGTACAGGAACCCTACACCTTGTTACGTAAACGATGGGAAATGAAGCACCACTCCACTTGACTAAATGACAGACCTTTAACAAATCAGCCACCCCACCCCTTACAGACTAAAAACCCATTCAAGTTAATCAGCCAGCTGAATATTGTACAAAAGAGAAATAAGTTCTGAAGAACTTGAAGTACTAAGTATACTACCACGCACTAAGATTCTATAGCTATTTGTATTTCCAATATTACTATTCGTTGACAGTTTGAGTATGACAATCTTCATTCTGACTGTCAATCAATCAATATTGATCAACGCGTTGTAAAACTTGTAAACCTTTTAACTGTTCTTATACAAAACATAGAAAATGAAACGAAGTGGGATTTTACGTCCTACTGTTCTGCTCCGACTGGGCTAATGAAGACGGACACATGCCATACAGTGTGCTATGAAGAAAATTTGCCTGGGCAGCGGCACTATGGCCTACTCTTTATGTCGAATTCCAACTGCAAAGGGATCGTTTACATGCACGTCAATGTAGGCACGGTACCTGGGTTTTTCGTACCATCCCAACGACTAGACAGCTGTCCTTGTCAGGCCCTCCCCATCCTGCACACAAAACACAGACACTTGTAAGACACAATTATGTTCATAACATAGGCCTACAAATGTTTTAGAAATACTACACTAAGATGAAAACTATTCAATTTAATCATCAATTCTATATATATATACCCAAGGGATATCAGCATTTAGCATTTTTGTAAGATACGCAATCTGCAGTGCCATCACCATGCGACATAAATAATGACATGTTGATGTGTTACTGTTGGTAAGTGGGTTATCATACATGTGTTACAGTTGGTAAGTGGGTTATCATACAGTGTTACTGTTGGTAAGTGGGTTATCATACAGTGTTACTGTTGGTAAGTGGGTTATCATACAGTGTTACTGTTGGTAAGTGGGTTATCATACAGTGTTACTGTTGGTAAGTGGGTTATCATACAGTGTTACTGTTGGTAAGTGGGTTATCATACAGTACATGCATGTGTTACAGTTGGTAAGTGTACCAGCGCTGCATGGCGAATCTGAATTTGTAATGAAATGAAATGGAGTATAATGTCCTACTGTTCTGCTCCGAACTGGGCTAATGAAGACGGGCATATGCCATACAGTGTGCTATGAGAGAAATTTTGCCCTGACAGCGGCACTACGGCCTACCCTTAACTCGAATTCCAACTGTCAAGGCATCTTTTACATGCACGCCAAAGTGAATACGGGACCTTGTTTTTTCGTGCCATCCGAACGACTTGACAGTTGTCCTTCTCAGGCCCTCCGTCCTGCATCCCCAACAAGGGGAAACCATGCCGGAAAATCTGGATGAACTTTCTAGGCCAATGCAGGGATCGAATACCTGACCTCCATCTGAATTTGTATGTGAATAAATTGGTTCACGATATATAAAAGGTATGTCACACTTGATCTATGGTAAAGAAAAGAAAACCTCTGTGTTAACCATGGCTCAGGGAATACACGCATTCAAAACATATAGAATTTTTGATGAGGCTGAAAAACATTTTTATTATTGAAGTGAGAATAAAAGAGTATTTATGGATTATTGATCTTAAGAGAATCAGACTATGTTAACATAGGTAAATAGTTCACTACATTTACAAGTAGATTTTACAATATCTGTTGAATTAATCATGTCCACTATTTATACAGTTATTGGTGATCAAATCAATATGATTCTTGTGACCAGTGTCAACTCATGAACCCTTTTATTTTTTTGGCTTACAAAGCAAAACTATGATATTGAACGCAAGAGAGAGAGAGAGAGTTTAACATCCACTCAACACAAACTAGGTCATTTTGGGACTAACACATGGTTCAATTTTATTTCAATAATTTGCTTGCGCGTAGTGGGAGGAAACCGGAGGACCAGGAGAAAACCCACGAGGATGGACAGGCGACCCTACTCCTTGTTACCTCCACCCAGGGATTCGAAACCACGCCAGTTGACTCAATGACACAGCGCACACATACTAACCATTCGGCCATCCAACCCCCCTGAACACAACAGAAAGTCATCTTACAGATTACATTACACTAACCTTAAAACGAAAAGAAATAGGGTTTAACATCCTACTTTTCTGCATCAACTGGGATAATAGATTGTGCTATGAGGGACATTTTGTCAAACAACGGTTCTACAGCTTTCAAATCATAATATGGCGTATCCAGTATTCTTTCGGCCAAAGAGAGAGAGAGAGAGAGAGAGAGAGAGAGAGATGGGGTTTAACGTCCACTCCACACAAACCAGGTCATTTCAGGATAAACACATGGTTCAATTTTATTTCAATAATTCGCATTGCGCGTAGGGGTCATTAGCAGTGGGAGAAAACAGGAGGACCCGGAGAAAACCCACTGGACGACCCGACCCTACTCCTTGTCGCATACAATTACAACCAGGGATTCGAAACCACACCAGTTGACTCAATGACAGACCTTATGATACAGCACGCACATGCTAACCATTTGGCCATTCACCCCCCCCTCATTTAATGAAGTCCTGTGGAACATGAAATGGGGTTTTTAATGTCCCACTTTCTTGCAACAACTGTGCTAATGAAGACACTCTGGCGCGTACATGGGACCTCAGTTTTCCGTCCCATCTGAAATATTAGTTCCCAGCTAATACCTCTCCCGTGCACCACTGACACAAGGAAACCGAGATGGACAATCCAGATTAACTTTCTCGACCAAAACCTGGACTGCAAAAAGGATCTCCTGGTTAGTGAGCCAGCCCTTACTCACTAAGTCTCTGTGGCTCCTATGAACAAAAACAACAGATGAAACCTCGCATGATAATCTGCTGGCTGGCATGATAATCTGCTGCTGGCATATCTGCTAACATGATAATCTGCTAACTGACATGATAATCTGCTGGCTGGCCTGATAATCTGCTGGCTGGGATGATAATCTGCTGGCTGGCATGATATCTGCTGGCATGATAATCTTCCAGCTGGCATGATAATCTGCTGACTGACATGATAATCTGCTTTCAACAAGTTTCTGCGATTTATGTCTAGGTATTGAAAGTACACCTACACTGGACAAATGCTTATGAAATTTATCAAAATAAAACAAAATATTTCTTGATAAACACCAGAAGGAAATTTACAAATCGATGTCTGCATTAACAAGGCAAGTATTTACACAAATCTCTCAGTACTGTTGATTTTTCTTGACAAAGAACTCTTTAAAACACTTATAGATTGAGCTCCTAGACCCATTAAAAAGTATTAAAAATAACCATATCATTTTATTCTTTAAGCAAAATCCATATTTACCTCAGCTTTCAATTGTTCATCGGTATCCCATGGCCAAATATCTAGAACAAAAATAAAATACGAAATAAATCCAGAGATATAAATCCACAGCTTAAGATCTGGATTAAGTATAAAACCAGTCCAATACTACTCGTATACCACAGTAAAATATGACTCGTATACCACAGTAAAATATGACTATACCACACAACAGTATAAATAATCTATCTTATATACATACATACATACACATACAGTAGTAAATGATCAATGACAGAGAATTATTGAAAAGATAAAGTTAATATGTTCTAACATGTCTTACAATATACTATATATTTCGAGATAAGGCCAAGACAACTGAAATGGAATAAAGGCAATAATGTACTATATATTTGGAGATAAGGCCAAGAAAACTTTGATAATGAACAGAAATGGAATAAAGGTAATAAAGACAGTTATTTGCACAGAATGAAAAAGAGTAAAATTTTCAGTCACATGTAAATGAACTTTTTATTAACCTCGCTAATCTATTTTATCAGATAGTATATTTACATGTAACTATCATGTCGAAAAAATTCCCTGATAGCATTCTTCTAATAAACCCCAAAAAGTGTTCGATAAGATCAAATTTCAAAATTCCTACATCAGGTCTGGAAATATTGATTTTAGATGTACTTGACAATAATGAACTGGTACATGCACTGACATATTAACCTTCGTGTCAGATAAAGGCTAAAAATATTAAAATACAAACACCGAAAAAGGCAGTTATAAATGGATTTTTTTGTGGATTTTTTTTTTTCAAATTTAGTGTGAAGCATTAAGACTGAGAGGATGAACCCTATTCTTTTTCAGATTGAGGATGAATCATTATATACTGTACACTGTCTGATAATTTGTACTTGACAAAGTCTGTGACAAGTGCCTTATGTCCTGGCTTGAGGTTGAACCCTATTGATTTTAAAAATTGGTGTGAAAGATTGAGTATAGACATTAAGATATTTGTATATTTGCTTATATTGATGTGAGAGAGAAAGAGAGAAATGGATTTTAACGACCACTCAACACAAACCTGGCCATTTCGGGACTAATATATGGTTCAATTTTATTTCAATAATTCACTTGTTCATAGGGGGTCTTTAGCAGTGGGAGGAAACCCAGAGAAAACCAACAAGGTTGGACAGGCGACCCTATTCCTTGTCACATACAACCTGTAAATCGAAACCATGCCAGCTGACTCAATGATAGACCTTATGATACAGTGCGCACGCTCTAACCATTCGACCATCCAACCCCCTATATTGATGTGACATCCTATCGCAACTTGTACAACGTCTCTGAAAACTGAAGCTGCAAGCTTTATAACATTGTATAACAATAGGGATAATAAAACAAGGGACATCAGATTTCCTGAAGGCGGATCCAGAGGAGGTGGTTTGGTGGGTCCCCCCCCCCCTGCTCAGCTACATAATTTTTTTTGTAAATCAACACTTTTTATGAGAAAAGTTTCTCGACCGTGTTCTTTATCCTTTATCGTCAGATTTGGGACAGGATGGGCACTCAAAGCACAAGATAATAATATAGACATTATGTGATATCACAATTAATGCTTTGCATCCATGAAATTGAATCACAATGTCATTGCATTAATTCATAATAAAAATTGACGTCTAAACAGGATGTTGGATTTCTCTGTTTAAAAAGCTCAATGTGTATGTATATACGCCAAAATGATGATAGAGACCATGCGGGGCGGGGCAGGGGGGGGGGGGGAGGGATACATTGTCTCAGGAACCTGACAAACCCCCTCCTGCAAAAATTCCTGGATCCGCCCCTGATAAGGTGCTAAGGCTATTTTTTTTTTCTCAGAGATATAAATACTTCTGGCATATCTTCCACGCTTTGAGATGTTATCTTTGAAAATATCGATAATGTCAACTGAACCATATACAACGCAATTATATAATGATTCATAAATTGTACATTCATTTTCCATCAATTCAAGAGACAAAGAAATATCTGTAAATAATAGAAGATTGTAAGAAAAGATGATTGTACTAGTAGAGAACAACAATACACTGCACATCCTATATTGATTATGTATATTACATTTTTTAAAAAAAGCAATCCATTAACTTCAACACAATAATCTAAATATAGTTTCAAAAATTTAGACAGCTTCTGTAATCTGTTCCAAATTCTCAAGATGACCTCAATACAAACTTGGAGAAGCAAAAAAAGCATTATTCTTCTTAAGCGTATTACATGTATGTGATTCTTGCAGTAATTAAACAAAATGATTAGTCTGGTGAACTTAAACACTGTGTACAAATTTAAAGTCAATTAAAAGCCTCTTGAGCATCCACAAGCAATTGTGGAGGTCGGACTGATTGACAGACATGGGTGACAACAATAAACAAATATGTGGAGTATAAAAACTAGGACTAGGCTACATGTATTGAATAGCACTAATTTTGCAACCAGGAGAGAGAGAGAGAGAGAGAGAGAGAGAGAGAGAGAGAAGGAGGGTTAACATCCACTCACACAAACTAGGTTCAATTTTATTTCAATAATTCGCTTGCTCGTTGGGGTCTTTAGCAGTGGGAGGAAACTGGAGGACCTGGAGAAAACCCACGAGGTTGGACAGGCGACCCCCTTACTCCTTGTCACGTACAACCGGGGAATCAAAACAACACCAGTTGACTCAATGACAGACCTTATAACACAGCGTGAACGTGCTAACCATTCGGCCATCCAACACCCCTTGCAACGATGATGGAAAAAGAAATGAAATGAAATGAAATGGGGTTTAACGTCCTACTGTTCTGCTCCTATACTGGGCTAATGAAGAAGGGCATACGCCATACAGTGTGCTATGAGGGAAATTTTGCCCAGGCAGCGGCACTATCGCCTACTCTTATATCGGATTCCAACTGCTAAGGGATCTTTTACGTGCATTCCACTGTATACACAGGACCTCGGTTTTTCATCTCATCCGAAGGACTAGACAGCTGTCCTTGTCAGGCCCTCCGTCCTGCATCACTGACAAGGGGGAACCACGCCGGAAAATCTGGATGAACTTTCTCGGCCAATGCAGGGATCGAACACCCAACCTCCAGGCTAGCGAGCCAGTGTCTTACCCACTTAGCCATGTGATACCCTCTCACAATTCCAGAACTTATAGCTATGTTCCAGAACTTATAGATATGTTATCTACAATCCAATCAGAGGTTGTGACATAGTGACCTCCATGGAAACCTTGACATTGAATGAACCTTGAACTTTGCAAATCGATTATCACAGATAGACCTTTTAGCTTGAAAGCATGAGACTTGATATTCGCGACGATCGAGGAATCTGGGCTTGTTCCCTATCGAAATTAGTGCCGAAATATGCTGGCTATTATGTAAAGGCCTTGATAAGATGTACTTAATTAAAGTGAAATCAAGCCTTCTATTGAAGATGAGGTTACACGAACATGTAAGCAATAATGCTAGTTTTGCAAACGATGATGGAAAAAGAATTCACTGCAAAACTATACACTGTCTTGTCATAGCAGGTGGATTAATTGTATAAACTACAGTTGAGTTGTAAGATATCTAATCCTAGTATAATAATTATCATATACACTGACTTAAATTATAATTAACCACTTCAAATATGTTAATATAGGTTCAATAACCTATTTAAATACAAGTATGTTAATATGCAGGTAAGTACAAAAAGGTATGAAACATTAGATATATTACAATACACATGATAAACTACAGGTATGTATTCAGATTTAACTTTGAAAATACAATAATCCCATACAGTTTACTCTTATCAATGACCCTTCAAATAAATATCAGTAATAACACATATTTAATTGTAATATGTCCAAAATACATGTAAATATCAAATATTTAGTGTAATTTGTCCAAAATAATTATTAAATATTTAGTGAAAATTGTCCAAAATAATTATTAAATATTTAGTGAAATTTGTCCAAAATAATTATCAAATATTTAATTGTAATATGTCAAAAATAATTATCAAATATTTAGTGTAATTTGTCCAAAGGGCATCTACATCTTTCCATATTTATCAAAATTTTTTAGGCTGTCCTCCAGACTGCTTGTCGTGGAAGAACTATCAATATGGAGATCGGAAATTTCTTGTCCCTCCTCCCGTGCGGAAAATCTTAGATCCGCCCCTGCAACATTATTGTATTTCAATAATTGTCTGTTATTGTATGGTTTTTTTAGCAGCGGAAGAGAAAACCCAAGAAAAAAACCATAAGCTTGGGTAGGAAACCCTCCTCCTTGTCACGTACAAGACCTTAGTCATGATCTAAAGAGCACATGTTATAGCATTCAGGCACTCACCACCCATTTTATGGAGAAAACAAGCAGTTGCCATGCAAGATATGCCCACATTTTGATTTTACAAGAGATGGACAGATAACAAGCTTTAAAAAATAGGTGTTTTTTTGTACAATCAGAGGACATAATCCAGGAAGTTATGGTTCAATATGCGCAAATATCAAAAGAAATAGAAATCTGGGACCCTCTAGAGGGTCCACAACCTTGGATTTACATATTTTTTACTATATTTGCGTACAGGCTAAAAACGTGATTTTCCGTAAATCGGGGGCCATAATTCAATAAGTTTTGATCCAATACATGCTAATATTAAAAGGAGCCAGATCTTTTGAAAATAAACCTACATTTCAAGTTTCGTCAAAATCGGATAAGAATTGTGACATGTGGAGTGTCTACAAACAAATTTTGGACGGACGAACGGACAGGGGCGACGACAATATACGTCCACATGAAAATGTGAGAGTATAAAAATAACTTTAGGAAGTTATAGTTTAGTTTTCTTTTTGGTACAAATAAATCAATTTGAATAATAAAATTCTTATCTAATTCATAAGAGTATTTAACTTCTAATCTACGCATTCCTTACTGTTGAAATCTGAAAGGTATTTACAAGATAAGTTTAATAAACGTTTAAGAAACATAAAAAAAATAAACTTCTGTTTAGTTAGCTATAAAGCTGTTTGAAAGAAAAGATCTATGACTCCAGAATAAACCATTAAAAGGTCAGCAATGAAATATCCAAATCACCCT